GGTCCTGTCCATTGACCTGGGAGTGGTTGAGGGGTGGGCATGCGAGACTTTTCTAGCTAATTACATGGAAGAGAAGTCTGTTGGGGGGATTCTTGGACAGGTCCTCATGTCTTGGAAAGAGACATGGAAGAAATAGTCCTTTTTGACTCTCAATACAACCGCGTTTGGATGTGACCCACAGCAGTAGCCACAGCTACCAGCTCTCCTCCTGACCAAGGAGATGGGAAGATTCTGGAGGACTTCATTGAAGCTCTCTAGTCAGCCAGTCCTGGAGTCTTCCCTGTGTGAACTTTCTAGAATGAGAAGTAATACAATTCCTTATTTTCTAAGCCGTGTTAAGTCACAATTTTTTGTTATTTGCAGCCTAAAGAACCAGGAAACCGTATTTGTTACCAATGCTAGACTTTAAGCTTCTTTTTTTTTTTAAAGATTTTATTTATTTATCTTTAGAGAGGAAGGGAAGGAGAGAAGGAGAGAAACATCTATGTGTGGTTGCCTCTTGTGAGTCCCCTGCTGGGAATTGGCCTGCAACCCAGGCATGTGCCCTGACTGGGAATTGAACCACAGTCGTCTGGTTCCCAGGCCGGCGCTCAATCCACTGAGCTATGCCAGCCAGGGCAAGCTTCTTTTTTAAAAAAATATATTTTATTGATTATGATATTGCAGTTGTCCCATTTTCCCCCTTCGCTCCCCTCCACCCTGCACAACCTCTCCCACCCACATTCCCCCCCTCTAGTTCATGTCCATGTGTCATATTTATAAGTTCTTTAGCTTCTATATTTCTCATAGTATTCTTACCCTCCCCGTCTATTTTCTACCTATAATCTATGCTACTTATTCTCTGTACTTTTCCCCCCTCTCTCCCCCTCCCACTCCCCTGTTGATAACCCTCCACGTGATTTCCATGTCTGTGGTTCTGTTCCTGTTCTAGTTGTTTGCTTAATTTGTTTTTGTTTTAGATGTGGTTGTTAATAATTGTGAGTTTGCTGTCACTTTACTGTATATATTTTCTATCTTCTTTTTCTTAGATAAGTCCCTTTAACGTTTCATACACTAAGGGCTTGGTGATGATGAACTCCTTGAACTTGACCTTATCTGAGAAGCACGTTTTCTGCCCTTCCATTCTAAGTGAGAGCCTTGCTGGATAGAGCAATCTTGGATGCAGGTCTTTGGATTTCATGACTTGGAATACTTCTTTCCAGCCCCTTCTTGCCTGCAAGATCTCTTTGGAGAAATCGGCTGACAATATGGTGGGAACTCTTTTTTTTTAAGATTTTATTTATTTATTTTTAGAGAGGAAGGGAAGGAGAAAAGGAGAGAAACACCAATGTATGGTTGCCTTTCGTGCATCCCCTGATGGGAACTGGCCTACAGGGAACCAGCCTGCAACCCAGGCATGTGCCCTGCCTGGGAATTGAACCCCAATCGTGTGGGTCCTAGGCCCGAGCTCAGTCCACTGAGCTACACCAGCCAGGGCTTCGATGGGAACTCTTTTGTAGGTAACTCTCTCCTTTTGCCTTGCTTCTTCTAGGATTCTCTCCTTCATTTTACTCTTGGGTAATATAATTATGATGTGTCTTGGTGTGTTCCTCCTCAGGTCCAACTTCTTTGGGACTCTCAGCTTCCTGGACTTCCTGGAAGTCTCTTTCCTTTTCCAGATTAGGGAAGTTCTCCTTTATTATTTGTTCAAATAAGTTTTCCACTTGTTGCTCTTCCTCTTCTCCTTCTGGTACCCCTATAATTGAGATGCTGGAACGTTTAAAGATGTCCTGGAGGTCCCAAACCTCTCCTCATTTCTTTCAATTTTTGTTTCTTCATTCTTTTCTGGTTGGTTGTTTCTTTCTTCCTTCTGGTCCACTCCCTTGATTTGAGTCCCAGTTTCCTTCCCATCACTATTGGTTCCCAGTACATTTTCCTCTATTTCACTTAGTGTAGCCTTCACTTTTTCATCTAATTTGTGACCAGATTCAACCAGTTCTGTGAGCATCCTGATCATAAGTGCTTTGAACCGTGCATCTGATAGGCTGGCTATATCTTCATGGCTTAGTTGTATTTTTTCTGGAGCTTTGATCTGTTCTGTTTTGGCTATTTTTTTTTTTTGTCTTGGTGCGCCAGTTACATATGACGGGCAGAGCCTTAGGTGTTCACCAGAGTGGGGCAACCTTGTTACTGGGTTGTGACCCTGTATGTGGGACTGGGAGCCGAGAGGCAACAATGGCGCTTGCTCCACTCTCTGCCAGATTTCAGTCACTTCCCAAACTTCCCCCAAGCAAACTGGGCCCTTTTAGTGCTGATTCCTGGGTGGGCGGGCTTGTGTGCATTCTAGGACCCTGTGGGTTTCTCCAGTGAACTCTCCTGTGAGGCTGGGAGTCTCTTCCGGCACCTCAACCCACACAGGTGTTTTCAATTGGTGTTTTGAGGCTTTATTTCCCGGCACTGGGACCCTGGGTTGTGTGGTCTGTTTCACTCCCTAGTTTCACCTGGTTTATCTGCGCACAAATGTGGGACTGCCTGGTCCGCCAGCTACCTTGTGTGCTGTGCCCCTCCGCAATCCTCGGCCTTGCTGGGTTTGCCAGCTGCCACCTTGCCATGACCCCTCTCTACCCTGCCGCTTGACTTTGCCCCTCCTACCGGTCTTGATGAATGTGTCTTCTTTAACTCCGTGGTTGTTGGACTTTCATACAGTTCAATTTTCTGTTGCTACTGGTTGTTTTTTGTTTCTAAATTGCTGTTGCCCTTATTTCGCTTGTGCAAGGAGGCACAATGTGTCTACCCAAGCCTCCATCTTGGCCAGAAGTTCCTCACCTTTAAGCTTCTTCAATTCAAGGACTCTATCTATTTATCTTTCTGACCATCTTAGGGCTTGACTCACAGCAGATACTAAAAAAATGATTGTAAAATATTTATTTATTCATTTCTGATATATAATTAGTAAAAGCATTTGCAATTTATAAAGCTCTTGAGTTTTTCCTAGTAATTTAGAGAGAAACTTTAGATCAAATAACTGGTTCGAGGCATTTTATTTGTCAATCACACCAATTTTGAACAGGTTGTTTCCCTTAGTTTCAAATCCTTGTCTGTGACTTCCATGCCTCTTGGGGTCCCAAAGTGGGAATGAAAGCAAAAGAAAGCAGCCAGCCACTCCTGTGCCTACCTCAGCCATAACGCCAATACAGTATCCCAGTTATTTCTGTCTGAGAGCTCGGGGCTGGAACCCCTTTTCCTCCCAGTCCCAGTTCGTGGTGGTATCTCTAGTGCCAGTCTCATGGACCCCCATAAATACACTTTGCATGTGGAATTTTTTTCCTGGGGAAGACAGATCATAGCTTTTATTAGGTTCTCAAAGGGGTCTGTGACCCCCTGAAAGGCTAAAAAGCACTAGGAGGTGATATCTCAGAAGTAAATAACAATAGAAGCATTTAAAACGTTCCTCACTCTCAGTGTACTTCGTTATTCCTGTGTTCTGTATTTTGTCAGCTAAGGGACCAGTAGACTAGAGACCACTGGGAGATCCTGAAGCCAGAGACGTTTAGGACCTAGGGACGGCTAGGTAACTCTAGTCAGGACCAGTGTGAAGGGAAAGCACAGGGTCCCCTGTTAAAAAATCATTGAGAATTTCAAAATGCTGCTTCAGAGCATTACACCCAAAAGGCCCTTTCCGTGCACCAATCCATTTGCGGAGCCCCTAGGATGTGCCAGGGGCGGTGTCAGTGCTGGGATTCCAGACAGGAGCGTCCGTTCGGTCACGTTGGGTGTCAACATAGTAAAGGCCTTGTTCTAGATCCTGGGGTTGCGGCTCTGAATAAGACCTTGGTGTTGGGCAGACAATGAACAAATGAGCAGGAAAAAAGGTCAGACAGTGATAGGTGCCGATGTGGTTCAGGGTGACTGCGTGGTACCTTAAAAGGAATGAATGGTCAGCGAGGCGGCCCCACGGAGGTGAGAGCGCTATGGCCGGTGTGGGATCCAGGGCAAAGGCTCCATAGTTGGAAGAGAATGAACGCGGAGCAAGCGGGGCTAGGGATGAGGAGAGCGTGACCCGACGCGAACCAGCCGTCGCCACGGGTAGAGCGCGCGGCAGAACCGCAGAGCACCAGGGGGTGCGCTGGCAGCGGGGGCGTGGCTTGAGGCGGGGGGGCGGGCCGTGTGGGGCGAGGCTTCGCGGAGGGGCGGGGCTGGGGGCGGGGCGAGGGCGGGGCGGGCGGCCTCTGCCGGTGGCGGGGCGGTGTCGAGTAGCCCTCTTCGGCCTCGGGCTGCCGCCTCCTGCCGGCCGCGTCGGTTACAAAGGGCCGCTGCCCGGCCGGCCGCCCTTAGCCTCTTCCGGCCGTGACGGCGGCGCGGGCCTGGCTCCCGGCCGGAGATGAGGGGAGGATGTCGGTTTCGGGGCTCAAGGCTGAGCTGAAGTTCCTGGCGTCCATCTTCGACAAGAACCACGAGCGGTTCCGCATCGTCAGCTGGAAGCTGGACGAGCTGCACTGCCAGTTCCTGGTGCGGCCCCCGAGCAGCGCGGCCTCGGCGCTCACGCTGCACTGCAACATCACGGTGCGGCGGCCGGGCCGGGCCGGGCCGGGCCGGGGGGACGTGGGACGGGGGCGGCCCGGACAAAGACGCCCTGCTGAGGGCCGGCCACCGCCACGCAAGGCTCTGCGTGGGAGGCGGCGCGGTCTCGGCGCCCCGAAGCTGGGCCGCTGCTCCTTCGCAGCCGGGTCGCCGCGGGGTGAGGGGGGTGCGGGGCGCTGAGGGGACGGCGGCGGGCGGGGGTCGTCGTGGCCTCGCTCGGCTGTGCGGGCGGCACAGGCCCCGGGGTTGTCCGCCTCAGGGCGTCAGGCCGCGCACCCACCGGCGCCTCTTCAGGTCCGCATGTCGGGAGGAGCTGACCCGAACCCGGGGCGTCTGAGGGAGATGCGGGCGCCCTGCAGCCACGCAGGTGCCCTGAGTGGAGACTGTCCACTTCCTGTCACGGGGCCTCAGGGACCCTCCCGCTGCCTCTCAGGGACGCCGGAGGCTCCTCGGAGCCCCGGGCCGGGGGATGACCCGCGGGGCGGACGTGCCACTCGGACCGCGGCCCTGACCGAGGCCCCAGGGCAGCTCCGCGTCCCTCCGTGAGGAAGTCCGCGGCCGCTCGGGAGTTGGCCGAGGCCTGGAAGTGGCCACGATTGACATTAAAATGGGTTTCCGAGTGTTCTCTGGAGGAGCAGCTGTGTATTTCCGGAAAAACCAGTTCAGGCAAGCGCCGTGCTGGCAGAGGACCGGGTGGTTTATTGAGCATCTAAGTGCTGTGGGCACTGGCCGTGCAGGACGGGGCACGGCAGTCCCTGCTCTCTCAGACCTCCGTCTTTCTGCAACACGGTGTGACCCCGTTCTGCGGTGTCGGGAAAGCCCAAGGCAGCGCTACTGTTGGCTGCGGTGGGCTGGGGGCGCTGCAGAGGCGGCGGCGGAGAGCCGGGCAGTGGCGGGGCTGTCACAGGTGAGTGCAGTAGAATTTTGGAGGGAGCCAGAGAGCATTTCACGGGGAGAAAACTCTGCCCAGGAAGACACCAACGCTCGAGAAAGGGTGGGTTGCTTAGGAGTAGAGAGATGTTAGGATGGAGACGTGAGAAGCCCAGCGTGAAGGGGGAAATATTCCAACAATGGGAAGCAGGAAGCAGTAGCGAGCAGGCAGTGTGTGATAACCAGGAGCCTGACCTCAGTGGTGATTATTCTGGTCCAGTGGAATCTGGGGCACGGCCAGGAAATGGTGGGGCTTGTGCGAATGGTGGGAGAGTGGACTTGCCGGCTGTGGGGAGCCGCTCGTCACGCCCACGACTCAGGGGAATGTGTCTGCCATCCTGGACGAGGAGTGGGGCTCCGCACTGGGTGCCTTAGGGACGGTGTGTGTAGTTTGGTCATCCCGGTGGCGGTGCTGCCGGGCTGGCAGTCAGGGATTCCCAATGACTTGTAATTTTCAGGCAGTCTGCCACGACAAAGACTCATCCCATGTCTAGTGCCAGCAGGGCCCCATTGACAACCATACTGGAGGCTGCTAGGAGGCTGCCGCCCACAAAGATACTGAGCGATGACCTGGATTAGGAAGCAGAGCAGGAAGTGAGTTAGACACCCAGTGAGAAGAGGATTTGGCGGGCACTAGCATAACGGTACCACTAGTAGACACTGCTCAGAATGAGATGCTAGGCTCTGTCGTATTTACAAGGAGCATCCTTTTGCAGTTTCTGTAATGTTAGAGCGAATCATACCGCACTGGCGGTTCTGTACACACCTGAATGCCATAATTTCCAGATAATCATCTAAAGATGCTGTGCCCCTGATTCTTTCAGGCTTCTGCACCAGCAGTTTGTGCTGTGGGGAATGTGCCCTCTCACTCCACCCCAATGCATCTCCCCACGTCTGACCTCGGGGGTCTCTAGTCATATTCAGTTCATGCTGATGTTTGTCTCCCCTTCCTCCCTTTTACAGTCCTTACTATTTACTACTTTGCTTATGTTTTCTTGTGTTCTACTGTTATGGTTTTGGATGTTTGTCTTTTGTAGTCTTTTTTTTTTATGATGGCAAGGGAGAATATCCGATAATTATGCATTTCATCTTTCACTCAGTAAATGCTCAGTAAATATTTGTTCTACTGAGTTGTATGGTCACTGTTCTAGCTATATTCTATGGAACAAAAATTGTAAGTATCGTGTAAGTTAACTGTCCAAAGTTTGTCAAAAATTTACAAACAACATCAAGATAGTGTTGTCGACAGTGCAGAAGTATTTAAGGGGTCGCTGAGGGCTTGATAGGAAATCTGTAATTTGACTTCAGGTGCAAATGAAAGACAGTTTTAAGAAGCGAAAAACAAAACATTGATGTTTTGCTCTGTAGGCTAAGGGAATTGAGCTACATTTTTTTCCTGTTTTATAAATTTGTCCTTGTCTTAAATACGAAGGGCAAAGAGTGCTATTTTCAGCTTCAAGGAGTCTTTAATAATGAAAAAATGAACTGGTGATAGAAAGATGGTCATGAAAACTTAGGTACTGGTTTTCCATGTTCAGCGAGGAGCTCTGGTTGCCAGTCAGTGCCAGCATCTCGTTGTTATGATCGCACCTACAGGCAAAACAGCTTGTTTTAATAACCTGTGTGGCCTTATTGGGAGCTCAGGTACGGTTTTCTGTTAGTCCTTTTAAAACATTTAACATAACTTGGCAACTTAGTGACTCCTTTTATGGACTTTTTGGTAGGAAATTGCTGTTTTACAGTGAACTCCGCCCCCCCCCCCCGCCAGGAAGTAAATTAGCTAGTAAACTAATAAACCCTCATACTTTATTATTTGTGTATCATAAATCCTTCCTCTTTCTGCATATGTGGCTATTTGCCAGGCTACTTGTGGTGGAACTTTTTTTTGTTTAATTAAGTTTCTATTCATCATTGCCAAAAAGCCCCCCTCCCTCCCAGCAGGAAGAGACTAAATTAAAAAATGTTAGAGCTCTGAGTTTACAGGAGAGAAAAATATTTATTATTTACTTAGTAGCTGGGACCTTAACCAAAGTAGTTGGGACTTTAAGCAAATCGATTCTGTGTTTTTCTGTGAAATAGATAATCCTTTCTGCCTCACATGAAAGCATATATAAGAAAGCTCTGTACCAACGGTAATGTTCTCTGTAAATGTGAAAGTGATGAGTGCTGGTTTGATTCTCGGTCAAGACACAGGTAGCTTTTCATGGGAAATAAATCAGCGCTGTCAGTTTCTTAATTTTCTGTGTTTCTGGTCTTGACACTGATGAAAAGGTGCCTAGCTGAGGTTATGCAAAGGAAATAATGAGTGAAACTTGACTAAAGAGCCCAAGACCTTTTCTTTGGTCTGTCCTCCTGGGACAGATTGCCTTTCCAAATTAAACTCTGAGACAATCGCTTGGAAATACCAGAACTGTCACGGTAAGCACCTAAGTGGTACTTTCGAGCCAGAAGAGTCATTGTTTTCATTCATCTGACCAATTCATAATATAGAGTCAAATTCCAAGTTGTTATCTGTCCTCCCTCATCCCCCTCTCTATGCCCTTCCTTGAAAGGAACAGACATATGAAGAGGAGACTTAGGTTTCCAGGTTATGAATGGTGTGTCCCTTAGTAACTTGATTTTTTTTTGTTGTTGTTAAACTTCCTTAGACCTGGAAAAGGATAATGTTAGATAAATGTCAGCTGGTTGAGGGGTGGGGAGTTGAACTGAGACAGTCACTTCTGAATGTAAAGCATTAGTTGAGAGCCAGACTGGTTAAAGCAGGAACCCCTTTTGTCAAGGCCGTTGTAAACTGTGTTCTCTGCTGCCTTCTAAAAGATCATTCTGGAAGATAGTAGACTCAGAACCAAGGAAACCACCCACTGGTCCCTGAACATTAGGTGGTTGGAATCCTCTTTGTCCATTGTCTTTTGCCTCAGTTCACATAGAAGGTTTTTTTTTTTTAAAGATTTTATTTATTTTTAGAGAGAGGGTAAGGGAGAGAGAAGGAAAGGGAGAGAAATGTCCATGTGCAAGAGAAACGTCAGTTGGTTGCCTCTCGCATGCCCCCAAGCAGAGACCTGGCCGCAACCAGGCATGTGCCCTGACCAGGAATGGAACTGGTGACATTTCACTTTGCAGGCCAACACCCAGCCCACTGAGCCGCACTGATCAGGGCATGTGGAATGTTTTGATTAGCTGTAATTTGCTGCTCAGAACATGTAAGCATTTTTCTGATCTCAGGGGTATGCATTTTATTTATTTATTTATTTATTTGTTTGTTTGTTTATTTTTTACCTCACGTTAGGGTTCCCATTCTACTTCTGTGGGCTCTGGTCATGTTAGATATTTAGTTGTTTACTTATAAAGTGGTTAATTACCAGGGAACAATTTTTTTCTGACTTTTTGTAACTTTCTTTGAATGTTGTCAGAAGGTTAGAATTTTATTAAAGTACCGGATGGCAATTCTGTGCATTTATTTCATTTTTCACTCCACATTTATTGAACGGTAAATTGTCAGAGGAATGCATCCCTTACCTAGCTTCTAGAAGAAATTACAACTGTTGTAATTCTTCTCATTATAACAAGAAGTATGTACATAAATTTTCAAAAAGTGATGAAATCCTCAGAGATGGCTATGTCCAGTCATTTGGGAAGGTACCAAAAACTGGGCATTCTGGCGGACAGATGGCTGGCGGCTGCCTGGCAGAGTGTAGAGCCACATACTGGTCGTGTGGTGGATTTCTGAACGAGACAGAAACTCCTTTTCCTAAGCACCGACGGGCAAAGAAGTTGGTTCAATTGGCCAAACGCCTCGCATTAGCACAACACAACATTCTATGGTGCCAAATGGTAGTGGTGGTGAACTTGTTGAAATTTGCCCACTTATGGTAGCTTTTCTGGTGGTAGTCACAGACAACTCATCCTTCAAGCTTTTATTTCATATTTTAATTTTCTATTGTAGTGATTTTAGAGAGAGAGGAAGGCGGGGAAGAGACAGACACATTTGTTGTTCTACTTATCGAATTCAGTGCATTCATTGAGTTCACTTAGTCTACTTATATGCATTCATTGGTTGATTCTAGTATGTGCCCTGATGGGGATGAAGCTCACAGCCTTGGGAAATCCAGAATTTGCTATGACCAGCTGAGCTACCCAGGCAAGGCCATTGGGAGCATTTTAGAGACAGTCCACATGGTGCCTCAGGTACACCTGAGGCCTTTTAGAGGCAGTCCACCTGGCCTCTGAGCTGTGGCACACGGGCAGTGGCTGTTTAAGGAGACTGCCTGTCTCAAACTCCACCGCTACAACAAGTGAAAGCTGAATGGACCCACACGGTTAGCTATGTCACTGTTCCTTCTGCCTTCTAACACCAGATATATTTAAGAAGTAATCTTGCCCTGGCTGGTGTGGCTCAGTGAACTGAGCCCCACCTGAAAACCAAAGGGTTGCTAGTTGGATTCCTAGTCAGGGCACATGCCTGGGTTACAGGCCAGGTCCCCAGTACGGGGCATGTGAGAGGCAACCACACATTGATGTTTCTCTTCCTCTCTTTCTCTCTCTCTCCCGCTCTGTCTAAAAATAAACAAAATCTTTTAAAAAAATAAAAAATAAAAAAAGAAGTAATCTTAACCTCACTTAAGAAGTCTGTTCCTTTAGAAACTACATTCCTTCCTAGAATCTAAGAAGGGATGGAAAATTATTAGGAAAAATAATCATTTAAAGGATTGATTTTAAGGCCAATTCTGTAATGGAGGAAAAGCTCAAGTAAATCTTAAATAACTTCTGTACTTACGCTACTCAGAAAGCAATGAGGATATTGGATAGATTTTTTAACGTCACTTTAGCATTTGTAAGAATTTGAATTCATGTGTTTAGACATGTGGTCCTTTGCTTTATTTTTTTAAAAAAATCACAGATGTCATCTAGACAGTTTAGCTTTTTAAATTAAAAAGGCAAATGTAGTAAAGTTTAAATCTATAGATTGTATTTCAAGGTTGTTGTTTAAAATTTGTTTTTGCTTTTTAAAAGATTTATCATGATTCCAGATTTTAAATCCTTTAAAAAACGTTACAGCTGAGAATCCAGGCCATGATAGAAGGCAGCCCATCTTTCTTGGTGCTCAGATTCTATTTTCTTCTGCTTTTGGTAAAACATAACTTTCGCAGTGTATTGTCTTCTGTTTGTTTTAAATCATACTGCTTACCAGGCAAAATAAATTTTTTGTTTGTTTTTAGACTTATATGTTATGTAACATGGAGCAGGCAAGATTCAACCATTAAATTGTGTTTTTGGTTTTTTTTTTGTTTTTTTAGATCCAGTCCTGGCTGGTGTGGCTCAGTGGATTGAGTACCAGACTGCAAACCAAATTGTCACCAAATCAATTTCCAGTCAGGGCACATGCCTGGATTGCAGCCCAGGTCCCCAGTTGGGGGTGCTCAAGAGGCAACCACACATTGATATTTCTCTCCCTCTTTCTCCCTCCCTTCCCTTCTCTAAAAATAAATAAAGTCTTTTTTTAAACATTTTTAAAAGACTTTATTTATTTATCTTTAGAGGGGAAGGGAAGAAGAGAGGGAGAGAAACATCAATGTATGGTTGCCTTTTGTGCATCCCCTGCTGGGAACTGGCCTGCAACCCAGGCACGTGCCCTGACTGGGAATCGAACCACGATTGTCTGGTTCGCAGGCCCGCGCTCATTCCACTGAGGTATACCAGCCAGGGCTAAATAAAGTCTTTTTAAAAAAATCCACAAAAGGAAATTTGTTTTTCCATATGTAGATTTTAATATGTTGCCCTTCTTCCCCCCGGTATATTGTACTTGAATCCGAGGTTGTCTTACCGTTGGGCAGCGTGGTTTAATTGCACAGCAGGTTCATCTGTTTCAAGGGTGTTTAACTAGGTGTCTCTGTAACAGGAATCTTACCCATCGTCTTCACCAATATGGTTTGTGGACTCTGATGACCCAAATCTGACCTCAGTTCTGGAACGTCTAGAAGACACTAAGAACAACAGTTCGGTGAGAAAATAAGCCATGCTCCTTTCTATTTTTCCTCATGAACATTGCATGATAAGAACTTAAATGTTAAGAGGTAATATGATGTCAAAAGCCTGATTAATGATTACTTGATAATCTTAGAGTAGTTAGAGACCAGGTATTTTTTTACTGTTTTTGTTTTAGTACTTCAAAATCTACTGCTTACTTTCTGGTTCCTCTTTTTTATTCCCCATAAGGAATAGTCTTAATTTGGATCAGGAATTAGATGTTCTCTTTCTCCGTGAATTCTAGCCACTAACCAAGCAAGCAGTTTCGGTAGGGACCACTAGCCAGGGAGGGGAGTGGAAAAAGGGAAAAGGGCTGCAAGGTAGACGTGAGGGGCAGTAATGGCAGCATGACGTCTACGCTTCCATCAGGGAACCGCTGTTTCTCTCAGGTGTCTGAACTGCAGACAGAGCCGAAGGTACTCACACAAAGTTTTTACACTCACAAATGATGTAACATCCATACACATGTATAAAGGCAATGTAACTTGCCATTTAAAAATAATTTTCTTTGATTATAAAACTAATCAGTAACCTTTGTGAGAGAACTAGTAATATTTTTTAAAATGAGAAAAGAACAATCTTCATAACTGTAACTATTGTTGACATGATGTATTTTTTCTTTCAGTATTTTTTTTCTTTGCTGGTAAAATACACATACTTTTATATATGTGGTTAAAGAATAGAGATCATATTTTACATACTTTTATATCATTTTTTAAAGTTGACATTATCATTGTGTTTCCCATGATGTCATAATGTTCTTATAGAAAAATATTAGTCATTAGTTGCAGGTGATGTGATTATTGAACCTACAAAAATTCAAAGGAATCAACTGAAAAACAATTTTTAAGATGACTGGTTAAAATTGCTATTATATAAAAATCAGTGTTTCCCCCCAAATCAGCAATACTCAACTAGAAAATATAGTAGAAAAGTATCTGGTTGACCATTACAATTAAATGTAAAAAATGAAATACTAGGAATAAACTTACGTATATCAAGAAAATCACAGAGATGTGCTGAGTGGAATGACTCAGTGTAGCCCTAGGTGGGCAGACTTCATATTATAAATCTGTTAATTCTCTCCAGAGCTTCATGTTAATTTATAAATTGAATGCAATTCCAGTAGAAAAATCAAACAGACTTAATTTTGAAACTTGAGAAAATGAATCTAACATTTGTTTTAAAGAGTGAATGATAAAAAAAATAATAATGAAGTTGAAAAAAAGCAATGGAGGAAGACACATTCAACTAGATATGAGAGGCAAGACCGAGCACTGGTGCTGGACGGGGTGGGCAAAGGAGGGCGGGGTTTAGAAAGGGCCGTGCGAGTGGGAACTTAGCGTAAGTTCAGTGGAGGTAAAGTGCTAAAGAAGGAGAGGGTGGATTATTCTGTTAATAATGTTGGGAGAATTGACAGTTTGGGGAAGTCAGAGTCTTACCTCAGATTTTTGTCAAAATAAATTATAAGTGGTTTAAACACATTTGTTCTTAAAATTGAGGACAGAAGAACACCAGTTTAAAGAATATTTTCAGAATAAAGTCTAGTCTGAGAGTGATGAAGGTTAGAGGCAAAAAAATTTAAATCTTTTTTTTAAAGATTTTAATTTATCTTCAGAGGGGGAGAGAAGGAAAGAGGGAGAGAAATATTAATGTATGGTTGCCTCTTGTTGCAACCCCTGCTGGGAACTGTCCTGCAACCCAGGCATGTGCCCTGACTGGGAATCGAACCGAGATCCTTTGGCTTTCAGGCCCACGCTCAACCCACTGAGCTACACCAACCAGGGCTAGAGGTAAAAATTTAAAGTCAGAGGATGTATGTTCATCTCCAGCAGAGGGATGACAGGACAGAGAAGGAGTGACAGCTCCCTCCCGGCTGCCTCCTTTTCTAAAGATCTAAAGTATAAGTTTTGTGATGGTATAAATGAGTGGTTTGTTTTCCAGTGTCTGAAATATCCCATCAAAAAATGCTCACAGCCCTGACCAGTGTGTCTCTGATGGTTGGGTGTCCTCCTGCAAAGCTAAAGGTCGCTGGTTTGATTCCCAGTCAGGGCACATGCCTGGCTTGTGGTCTCCAGTTGGGGCACCTACAAGAAGCAACCCATCGATGTTTCTCTCATTCTCTTTTACCCTCCCTTCCCCTTTCTAAAAATAAATAAATAAAATCTTTAAAAAATATTTTATTTATTTTTAGAAAGAGGGGAAGGGAGGGAGAAAGAGAGGGAGAGAAACATCAATGTGTGGTTGCCTCTTGCATGCCCCATTCTGGGGACCTGGCCTGCAACCTGGGCATGTGCCCTGACTGGGAATCAAACTGGTAACCCTGTGGTTCACAGGCTGGTGTTCAATGAACTGAGCCACACCAGCTAAGGCAAATAAAATCTTTTTAAAAATGCTCATAAAGTGAAATGACACAGGGTATAAAATTGGGCTTAATTTTATAAAGAAAGTAAATGTATTTACTTAAAAGAACACCCCCCCCCACCAAAACTTACTCTCCATTCTTTCATATGGCTCCTCCAGTTGTATCATCTCCTCGTTTACTGACAGAATGCGCTATCATTCTTCACCCTCTCACTCCACGTAATTCATTAGTGTTTGGATTCTGCCTTCATTGTTGAACTAAAAGTGTTTATTTGGCCCTGGCTGGTGTAGCTCAGTGGGTTGAGCGCGGGCCTGTGAAGCAAAGGATCTCGGTTCGATTCCCAGTCAGCACACATGCCTGGGTTGCAGGCCAGTTCCCAGCAGGGGACGCATGAGAGGCAACCATACAAGGATATTTTCTCCCTCTCTCCTTCCCTTCCCCTGTAAAGATAAATAAATAAAATCTTTGAAAAAAAAGTGTTTATCTGTAGCTGTTAAATCCAGGCTCTGTTTGCAGTGCTAATACCGGCCTGTCTGCAGTGGTGGGTACTGGTGCCTGTTCCCTTGTTGAAACATTACTACATCCAACATGTCTGACTTGATGCCCACCGATAAAGCTGGTTAAGTAAAAGTTATCACGTGTAGTTTTACAGCAGAATATTATGTTGTAGTTAAAAAAATAATGCAGCCATCCTTTTCACAAGAGCACATCCGACCTTCCAAGATGCTCTAAGCGGAAAAGTGAGGCATAGGAGAGTGTCTGTAATCTGGCTACTTTCATAGTCAATATTGTGGACAATCTGTGTTTGTGCACATTGTCTCCCGGGTGGATACAGGAAGTCAGTGCTAGCACTAGAGTTTGTTTTTTTTTTTAAATTAACCGGTTTCTGTGCCAGGCTCTATGATAAGTGTGGGTAGAAAATTCAAGTCACATTCTGTCCTCTAGGACCTGATAACCAAAGGGTCTGGTCTCCTGTTTGTATCTCCTTCTACCTGCCTTGGTCTGTCCCTTTCTCTCACTCTGTGCTTTCTCTGCATAATCTCTCATACTCCTGGCACTGAAACCATGGCCTGTGTTCCTGGAGTTCCTAACTCTGTGCCTCTAGCTCAAGTCTTTCTCCTGAGTGTCTAACCCTTCTGTGTGTGGGCATCACGTAGACCCAGCGACTGTCTCTGGGCTGTGCCGCGGCTGCTGCTCAGCACGATCACAGCTGCCTGTAACCTCGCCTGCTCCCACAGGCCACCACCCTGTCACACTTCCCTTAATGTTCTCTTTGGGTTGTGAGTGGGACAAAAGGAGATCAGGACATCATCTTGCGTGCCTGACACATGGGGCCTGGGAATGAGCCAAGAGTCCTTTTTATCCCAGTGTTTCCTGACCCCACCCCACCCCTGCCCCACATATGTAGGAAGTTTCTGAGACCTGTCCATCTACCTTCTGATCATTTCTTCAGTTTTCCCCCATGATCTTAGTTTCTGACCCACCCCTCAGACACTTTGGGGGGAGCGTAAAGTGCAAATTCCTGGAAGATGTACCCCTGTTTTTCCTGTTGGGTATGACTGTACCCCACGCTGCCTGCCCCAGGGTGCTCCCACAGCTCTTCCTGCACCAGGGCCTGGCCTGCCTGGGTCGGTGTCCAGGCCGCATCCGTACTGTGCACTTAGTGCAAACCCGGAGTGCATGGGGTGGGTGACAGATCTGCTGTGGGGCTGCATGGTCTTTCAAGCTTGGGGATTCTTTTTCATCTTCATTTTTATTTATTTTTTAATATTTTATTTATTTATCTTTAGAGGATAAGGGAAGGAGAGAGGGAGAGAAACATCAATGTATGGTTGCCTTTCATGCATCCCCTGCAGGGAACTGGCCTGCAACCCCGGTATGTGCCCTGACTGGGAATCGAACCGCAATTGTCTGGTTCACAGGCCCGCGCTCAATCCACTGAGCTATACCAGCCAGGGTCATCTTCATTTTTTGCTCAGTTTTTCTCACTCCCGCTTGCTCCATTGTCCACTTTGGAAAGACCTGTTCTTCGCTTTGTTTAACCCTTTCTAATCTCCTGTCTGTTTTCTTGTCCTTCATAAACCTGCTTCTTTTTCCTCATCTCTTTTCTTGGTCAGACACGTCCAAGAAAGTGTTCCTGATCAAGAGGAGTAAGTTGTGCCTGACTAACTACTGGTCAGATCTACTGAGTGTGGACCACTCTTCCTAACCTGCAATTGCTAAACTTAAACGTTGAAAATGTTTTTTTAAACAATGAAAGACACGTGTGCACATAAGTTACCTTGCTTTAAGTAAATATGCTCATGAAATAATATGGGTGTAAAAATGGACACCTGAGGAGCGATTTTTTGCAGTTTTAGGTGGACACTTAAGAGGCTACTAAGTTCCGAGTATTTTCACAGATTTCACTTAATCTTTACTGTGACGAGTAGGTTTGATTTTCTAATTTTACAAATGGGGGGCTCAGACCAAGGCAGTCAGGTTCTGTGCCCCAGGCCACCTAGACCGCATGGCTCTGTCTGCCAGCTGCACGTGCCGCTGTGCCCTGACACGACCTTGACTGTGGGATATATAATGTTATGACCCATGCGCAACCAGACTGCCTCTGTGTTTTGTAGCCTCAGCAACATATTAATGTACTCATCTGAAGTGACAAGTTTCCACGACACAAAGTTAGCAACGGAAAACTGGACAGTGTTTGGAGCTCCCCTTCTTCGGCCTTTTTGTTGGTGTCATTTTGCTGGCAGGCAGCTGTAGGGCTGCTTTGAAGCCATAGTGACCTTTGCATACCTGCAGCTCCCAACGATGCCCCTTTAAACACTGCTATTTTATCTGTAGACTGTAATTGAGCAGTAACAAAGTTTTTCCATTTCCTACTGGATTGGTTACAGTAGTTGTAGCATTACTATTGTTTCTTAAGGGCTCTTTGACATAATGCTTATTTACCGAAATGTGTTTTGTAGCTTCGTCAGCAATTGAAGTGGTTGATATGTGAACTCTGCAGATTATATAACCTTCCTAAGCACCTGGATGTTGAGATGCTAGATCAACCCCTACCCACGGGTCAGGTAAAGTAAAGCATCTTTCTCTGATGATCAAGAGCTAAAATGAATTGTCTCAAGCAAAAGTAGCACTAGGATGCTTTTTCTTCGTTTATTATACAACTTATTTAGAAGTTAGTTTTTGCTGTTGAATTCTTTTGGTTTTGTTGTAGGCACTAAAAATAACCTTTTCATTTCTTGCAGCTGCTGGTATTTACTATGACAGAGACAAAATTGGCCCCTTCCCCCCCACCTGCTGTTGCTAATGCTCCTGGTCTCTGTACCTGTGCTCTGTCCTTAGCACCTTACGCCGTCTGTAAGGCAGCTTCCCCCCGAACGTTACCTCCTCCAAGCGGGAGATGCTGTAAGCAGTTATCGGGATTATAAGAATGCCTTCCTTATAATAATCCTGTACATTCTCTGGCTGCGTAGCTGTCATCTTGAAATTTTTCTTGTCCCCTCTGATGTGCTGTTTCCTGACTTTACGCCATCTTTCTTGGCTCACCTTTCATGTTTCACCTGAGTACATCCGCAAGTAAAAGCCTGAGAAAGCGCGACGGGGTAATATGTTTTCTGAGTTGTAGCTTCTAAAAAGCTGTGGCCAAACCACCATCAGTGTGACTTTCGGTTCTGCTGCTTGTTAGCGGCGTGACCTAATTCGCTGGGCTACTTGCTTGGTCACTGTACAGCAGTTTCCCGTTTGCAAAATGAGCGGGGGGCGGGCTCTGAAGAGTGAGTTAGAGGTGGAAGTCACTTAGAGCTGTGTGTACTGCTCAGTAAGTGCCCAGTAAATGGTGACCGCTGTCGCTGTCTGTCCTGACGCCTGATAGTTGGGTTAAAGATACAATTCTGCTTTGGAAATGATTTTCCTTGGGTAAATGTTCTAATATTTTTTTCTGGGGTAACTTGCTCATTTCTGTTTTCTTTCTTTGTTCATTTGGGAATGAGTACCTAAGGGATTTTAGACCTCTTTGCTCGAGTCTTTGTACCTCTGATACTATTTCTAATTCTTTCTCTTTGTTTTCTTATTTCAAATTCTGGAGGATTTTCTTTCAACTTTTGGAAATTTTATTAGGACAGCCATAACTTTTGGTTTTGGTTACTTATTGCTGGTTAACCAGGTACCCCAGGATGTAATGGCTTAAAACAACGCTTCATTCTGTGTCTTCTGGTTGTGTGAGCTGGACAGTGTTTCTGCCGGCCTCACGGAGCGGTCAGCCGCGGCTGGGGCTGCGGGCGTTGGGGCCCACAGCTGCTTCGGGATGTCCGACAGGGCTGCTTCACCCACGTCCACTGCCTCGTCTCTCCACACGGCCCTCCTCTCTGCATGGCCTCCAGGACCCCTTCCTGTGGCTTCTCTTTCTTCAGGACGGTAATCAGAATTGTTATTTTTGGCTTCCAAGAGCACAAAAGTGGAAGCTGCCAAGCCCTCTTAAGGCTGCGATTGGAACCTGGCCCAGCGTCATTTCCATCCCAGGTAGCAGTTACAGTCAGCCCCAGGGCCAGGCCAGGTGACTGGGAGGGGACCATGTGGGGGCGCACGCTGGGACATGTGCCCCGCTGGGCGTCCCCTCCCAAGCTGACCCATACCTTTTGAGAGCTTTTCTTGGCTGATTACTCATCACCTGCAGTGTGGGTTCTGTGCTTGTGTTTAGATGTGGTCTGTCTCTAAGGGTCAAAGGAGCCACGTTGGCACTCCGGTGGTTCCCTTCTTCAGCATCTCAGTTTTCTCTGTAATGCTTTATTTTTTAATATTAGCTTATTTTGGTCTTGTTCTTTTTGAAGAGTTTTCTCAAGTACCTGTCCAGTCTCTGATGCGCAGTCATATATTTTTTCTTTTTGTCCTTGCTCATTTTTTCATTCATGTTTGAAAGAGGGGCCGGGGGTTTGACTGGGAGTTCTCTGTGGCCAGGACTTGCCCACTGATGGCCTGTGGGCGGAGCGTCACCTGACTTCCAGCCCCCTTGCCTCCTCCCCATTTCCTGGTGCAGTGACACTTGGCAGCAGAAACCAGTCGAGTTTCCCCAGACTTGCGGCCCTGTTGGCCTGAGTTCTGCTTGTGGAGGGGGGAGAGCCGTGTGTTGGGGGCCGGACAGTGTGCTCTGTGTATGGGCTTTGGCTCCACCTCTGTGTCCAGCCCTGTGCACCCGCCTCTCGGGGCGTAGAGCTTCTGCTGTGGGAGCAGAGCGCCTCCCTGTGGTCGGCTCCCCAACCTGGAGGCGCTACCCTTTGGCGCCATTAACTACTTCTCCCCTTTACTGTTGTCTGGTAGCACCGGGGAGCTCTCTCTCCTGGTGCCAGCGCCCTTTCTTTTTTCACCACTGTGCTTACTCTTCTCTGTAACTGTAGTGGAGCCTCTGGAAAGAGAGACAGTGGGAGAAATGTCTGTTTTGTGTTCCAGTCTGCTTTTCTGGAATGTTGACAACTTTGGTTTTTCACTTAATAACATGCAGTGTACACAATACACGTAGCTTTGCCTTCTTTTCTGTGACTGCGTGTAATTCCACATGGGGCTGTAACAGTCCTTGTGACGTATGGGAGGAAGTTTCCTGATTTTGAACCATCCTTGCATTCCCATAATAAACCCTCCACACCTGTGTGTTGGTGGGTGAGGGGGGCACACACTGTGAATACATTTTACTTTTGGAATTTTCTACTTTAAGTGAGGTTGTGATACCATTTTGTCTTTTTGTTTCCTTTTACGCTCTTCTATCACTTCACTATCAGGGTTATACAGTCTCATAAAATGACCTAAGAAGCTTTTTGTTTGTATCTAAGCTCTGGGAGAGTTGCAATCAACTGTGGGAGCAAGTTCGCCTCCCGGGGGACATTTGGACATATCTGGAGGTATTTGTGGTTGTCACAGTTGGCTGAGGGGGTGCTCGTGGCATTTTGTGGGCAGAGGGAATGTTATGAAACATCCTGCAATGTCAGGACAGCCCCCACGACAAAGAATTATGTGGCCCCACATAGTTCCAAAGTTGAGAAACCCTGGTTTAAATAAACACCTGAGCTGGATCTGTTTTGCTCTTCTGTGTATGAGTTTGTTCGAATTTTCCATTTCTTCAGCCTGTTTTAGTGATTTTAGATTTGGGGAAAATGATCATTTCCTCCATACTTTTGAAGCTGTTGTAAAGATGTGTATTCACTTTCTGCATCTTCCTCTGTGGTTATAATGGTGATAATCCCCTTTTCATGTCTAAAGTTGCTTCCCTTATGTGGATTGCAGAGGCTTCTCTGTTTTATTATATTGGCTTTTTTTTTAATTTAAAGAATCGGCGCTTTTGTTTTATAAATCTAACCTAGTGTCTGTCTTTCCCACGGTTTGCTCCCGTCTCAGTGATTCCCTGTCCAGCGGCTCAGACTGCTGTCCTTTAATCATCTGTTCAGCAAACGTGCGGGTGCTGCTGGGACCCATCGCACAGGCTCCTCATGTCATTACGCCGATTGTCCACATAGATGGTGTTTCCTAAGCAGTTTGATTCCATCTTCTGCTTATATACTGGTTACGTCTCACAGGGAACAGTTTTAAGCCATGTGCATTGAAAACATGAACGTAAGTTTGACGTAACAAATAGCAACACCTGTGGAAAAGAAGCAGAAGCCTCCTGTGGCTCCTTCCTGTGTGCGGGGGGGCCCCTACCCCCCTCACCGTCTCGGGTTTTGTCACCTGTATACGCGTCCCTGAACAGTGTGGTGTGGGGTTGCCTGCTTTGAGCTTCACATTAAGTCACACTGTGTACATGGTATAAGGGTTTGTGGATGGAGAGTGTGCCCTGAATCCTCAGTGTCTGTTTTTATCATCCGATCAGCAGACCCCCGTCCAACTGTGCAGTTCTCTGCCAGGGCTGGGGGCCCGTGAGAACACACCCAGATGTGGCTTCTGTCCAAGTTCATGACTGAAGACCTCCTGCATGCTTTACACTTTTACCTTCCAGTGTTTGTTGTCAAAGATGAAAAGTCCGATGCCTGCCGGATTCTTGTGCTTCCTCTATATTTTATTTTCTCTCTCTGGAAGTTGGTACAGTTTTTTCTGTAACTGGAGTTGGTTACAGTTTTTTCTGTAACAGGGTTTTACTTTTTGATATTCCTGTGGGGCATTGGGAAGTCTTTCTTTAGCAGGATAACATCTGTCTGTCTTATTTCTTTCCCTCTGTCTTCCCTCTGTCTTCTGGATGCATGTTCGATCTCTATTCCAATCTTTTCCCTTCACTCTTGTTCCGTGTCTCTCCCCCCCCCATCTCCTTTTCCTTCCCTCTAAGGGAATGTGGGAAATGTTCTGTTTGTTCAAGTCTGCTGTGCTTTCTGGCTCTTCTATGGAGTTTTATTTTTTGGAGGGTGGGGTGGAGTCTTTGATTTCTCAGAACTCTCTTGTTCTTTGCATAGTAATCTTTTTCTATCTTTTGGATGAAGTATTTTCTCAATTACTGCTAAATATTCCAATTAGATCTTTACATTTTAGTTCCTTCATTAATGATGCTTCGGATCAGTCGTTCTGCTTGTTCCACTTGGTGCCTTTCTTTCAGACCGCTCATTGTCTTCAAATATCTGGCCATACTGGCTACCTGCTCATTTACAGATGTGGTCTACCGTTGGTCAGTGTCAGTCATTGACAAGTGTCCTCCGCAGCCCTCACTCTTTCCCTGGTTTGCGCTCCTATGTCCTGCCTGTGGCGTGGGAGCGGGGAGCTGCTGGCAGGGATGAGTCTGTGCCAAGATCTTGCTGCTTGTTGAGTTACATTTAAAAATTCTGTCTTTCTCTCTGATTCTGGCACCCACACAAGATGCCACCAGAGTAGGCCTCCTGTATAGGAGAGTGATCCTGACCAGCAGTAGTTGGAACAAAAACAGCAAGAAATTTCTGGGGGGAAAATCCTACTAACTGTATGTGCAGTGTCCCAGAGAAGTATGCTCTGGTCATAGAACTTGCACTTTTAAACTTGGCCTCTTCTCGGTGCGCAGGCCCTTCCTTAAGCCTCTCAGACCCGCTGCAAATGAGTGGTCAGTCATGTCCGTAAAGAAGTATCCTTTGGTAAATAGCATGTTGTCAAAAATGAAAATGGCTTTCTAGTGAAACGATCATTTTACGATTTTTACTTTGGGGCAGTATGTATTTTGTTTTAACACATTTACCTTTTAAAGTATAAGGCAGTTGAATTTATGGAACAATTCAGGCTTTTCAAAGTCGAAAAGGCAGATATTTTAAGGAATCGTGGTTTAGGGTATTTATTTCCAGTGAAAGAAGCCGTTGACTTTATACACATGGCTTTCTATGTAAAACATTCTTTTCATTTTAAATTAGAATGTCTTTAAATTTTTTCAAGTTGCTTTATATTTGATTAATTGCCTTTGTTATTCCTAATACATCTATTAAGTTGAATTGTTCAAAATGTCTCTTTTTAAAAAGCGATAAATATTTGTCAAATCCAAGCTGGATTTAAAAGTCAGTGTGTACGCTGTAGTCAGCTCTCTGTGAGCAGGGCCGCAGCGACTGGTGCCCGAGGACCTCGCGGCGCGCTGTCGGCTCAGTGTCACCCCACAAATGCTCCTTCCTTTTCAGAATGGGACAACAGAAGAAGTGACTTCGGAAGAGGAAGAAGAGGAAGAGATGGGTGAAGTAGGTATTTTATATAAGAACAACATTTTGTAAATATCTTCATTTTCGAAAATGTTACCAATTCCTCTCATCTCTTACAAACCAGTGTTAGTGTGGAATAATGAAAACCACAGAGTATTTGGAATTGATACAACTTCTAAACTCTGGTCTTACCTTTAATATAGGCTTTTGAGCAAATTGCTTATCTGAGGTCTTAAATTTGACTTTCTGGAAAATAAGAGCTCTTAACAGTTAGCACTAGAATTATATTTACATTTCATAGTAATCAATACTTAATGTATTTTTGTTTAAGGAGAAGAACTACTAAGTGTCAGAAGTTCTGTGTTTGAATAAAAGAATTAGAAAACATTCAGGAACCACTTGCTAGAAATGATAGAACTATCTCAGGTTGGAAAATGATCAAAGACTTTTGTGAGCAAATTCCAAAGGCGTGGAGCTTCGGCCAGTGTATTTGCTTGTCACTGAGAGGATCTTGGAGGTTTCCAGGCTTGAAGCTTGTGCTTAAAAGGCTTCGGAGGAGTCAGCTTAGAGTGGTTGAAAAGAAGATTTTCTAGGCAACTAATATAATGTGGTTAAAAGGGCCCAGAACTACCCCGGGCATCAGTGTGTTTGGGGACACTGGACGCTGTCCTTTTGGGAAGAAACATGGGTCGATGTGTTGGAGTCATGGGAAAGCAAGGGGAGTTGGCTAGAAAAGGCAGAGGGCTAGAAGTGCTGAATTTAAGGCAAAATGTTTTCTGTTTGGTGTGATTGTTAATAAGAAGGCTTTATGTGGAAAATGGTGGGCGGAGGATATTGATTTTAAAAGATGGTAATGATGAGTTTTGTTGTGAGCTGGTTAACACTCAGGTGCAGAGGCTCGGGGGATAGGAATGTGGCAGAGGGTCAAGTGCAGGAGGAGATTCAGGCTCTGGGCCTCGGTGGGAACTCGGAAAACAAGTGTCCGATGGCAGATCGGGCAGAGAGGAGCAGACCAGGGGAAGGTCTGGGTGAGGACAGAATGTAGTGGGGGGCGAGGGGGTGGAGACCCGGGGGAAAGAGCAGTGGGTCTGGGTGGAGGTGGTCACCGACATGTCCAGACCCTGCAGTGAGTCGGTCTGCTGGAGCGCAGTTCCCAGAACGAAGTTTGAACAGTTAAGTTTCTTAATGTATTTATTGGTGTTAAACTGTCTCAAACCCCCTCTTCATAGGAGATGTAAAAGTTGGCTTATTTGCTAATAGCTATTAAATGTGCTTTACTCCGATTCTAATGTAGTTTTAAAACAAAATATAAGATATAGACAGAAAGAACCTTATCAATGGAATGTGAAGGCCTCTCAACCAATACATGTGTTCACTCCTTTCAGTTCCCCCTTGAGTCAGGAATGATTTAACTTTCGGCATAAGTTTGAATAAGCTACTATGTTTCTAATTTTCATAGGATATAGAAGACTTGGATCACTATGAGATGAAGGAAGAGGAGCCTATTAGTGGGAAAAAGTCAGAGGATGAAGGAATTGAAAAGGAAAATTTGGCAATACTAGAGAAAATTAGGAAGACTCAAAGGCAAGACCACCTGAACGTATGTGTGACTATCCAGACCCCGAACTTGCGTGTGTAGTAAAGTAACCATAGGCGGTAGTGTGAGCGCGGGACGTTCGCCGGGACGCCAGCCTCGGCCACCCTTCTGCCTCCTGGCCTTGTCAGTGACTCAGCCGTGGGTTTGGTTGCCCTTATGCCGTTGTTTATTTATTGATTGATTTATTGACGTACGTACGTTCGTCACCTGTTGATAGCCACTGTCCACCCTGTTCCTCTGCTTTCTGCAGCCTGGATCCCCCCCTGCGTTTGCCTGTTTCCAGCTGTTTATGCTGCTGCCCCCACTGCCCCTCCCCGCACGGGGTCTGTGAATTTCAGTGAGTCTCTGCTCTCTGTGGCCCTGCCCGTCTGCTCTGTCCCGGCCGAATCAAAAGTAGTTTTTTTTGTTTTTTTTTTTAACATAACACCTCTTTGATGTGAAGCAGCCTGGGGAGTGAAGTGAACCCTCCAGCGACAGACACCCCTGCCTGGCTTCGGTTTCCTCAACTCTAAAATGTGGACCGGGCGAACCTTCGGATGGTTGCTCTGAAGAGGGAATGAGATCGTGTCTTTAAAATGCTCAGAGTAGGGAAACACCAGTGAGAGTCCAGCTGTTTGTCTGAACACTTCCTGCTTACTTAGTGCCTGATATTAATTAGACTTACTTATTCACCCCATGAAATCCGAGGACCCTTCCTCGATTGTTCCAGTCTGAACATTAGAGTCTGCACCACTGCGAGTCACTGCACACCTGCGCCCGACAGACCCTGCCGAGACGTCGCCCTAGAACCTGCCGCCACTGCGTGCAGAGTCCCTGCTGGTCCCCAGACGAGGCCCTGGGGCGAAGCCAGTTCAGTGAAGGATTTGGGGTTGCCCATCAAGAAAGTAGTGGCTTTGTAACCCCAAACAACCCCAACGAGTGGTGCCGCCACTGACAGCATTGTATCTGAATATTTTTCAAAGCAAAAGGCATCCTACATGTTTTTGTCTTGTGATGAATGATTCCATTCATGCTCGGTCTTAGGACAAGATATTGGTGCTTTTTCATTTTAGAGACATTCCAACACTGAAAAGAGCTGAAGCCAGTTGCGTGGAGGTGAACCTATTTCTCAGCTTCTTCCCTTGCAAAGTAGACCTTCAGTGTGATGTTGCTGCTCATGGTGATGAGTGGGACTCAGGCGAGGGGCACTGCGCTCCCACCAGAAAGGCCAAAATCCGGACACTGACAGTGCCTGCTGCTGGGGGCGCAGCGGGGTGCAGGCTTCCTTGGAAGACCGTGTGGCAGATTCCTACAAAACTAAACACAGTTTTTCCAAATGATCCAGCAGTTGTGCGCCTTCGTATTTATCCAAAAGAGTGAAAACTTACGTCTGCACAAAAACCCACACACAAACATTTAAAACAATTTTATTTACAATTCCCCAAACTTGGGAGCAGCCGAGGTATCATTTAGTAGGTGAATGGAAAGGTGAGCTGTGGCCTGTGAATGCTGTGCAGTGCTGAAGAGAAATGAGCTGTCCAGACGTAAAGAGATAGAGAGGAAGCTTACTGCCGAGGAAAGAAGCCAATGTGGAAAAGCTCCTTCTGTAGGATGCCAGCTCTGTGACACTCTGGCAGAGGCAAAACCGTGCAGAGAGTGACATGATCAGTGGTCACCAAGTTTTGGGGAGGGGAAGGATGAATAGGGGGAGCACAGCGGATTTTTAGGGCCGTGGAACTACTCTGTACTGTGATGGCGGAGGCATGTCCGCAAACATTTGTTCAGACGCACAGGGTGCCCAGTGCCAGAAGTGCCCCCTGAGGTGAATTAGGATTGCGGGTAAAAGCTGCGTGTCAGCGCAGCTCTGCCAGCTGTGAGCAGCGCACCTTCGGATAAGGGAGGCCTGCACGTGGGGCGGTTGTACAGGAACCCTCTATCTTCCTGTCAGTTCTGCTGTGAAGCTGAAACTGCTCTGAAAAATAAATTCTTAAATTAAATTAAAAAGTGGCAGAATTTGAAGTAGATACATGCAGAGTCCTAGGCTATTGCAAGGGCCATAGTGATGTAAGACATATTGGCTCGGCTTTTTTTTCCAGGTGATAAGAAATAGCAAATGAACCAATTTTATTGTCCTGTTGAAATTTCATAATCTTCTATTTAATTTAATTAGCTTTTTTTGCTTGTTAAAATGTTAAGTGGTGATCCATGTGAAGAGTCTCATTGTAACGTTTATTTCGGGTTCCTATATCAGAAACCCCAAGCCCCCAGCCTCTGCGGCCAGGTAAAGAGCGCGCTCTGTGTTTCAGGGCGCCGTGTCCGGGTCTGTGCAAGCCTCCGACAGGCTCATGAAGGAGCTCAGGGACATATACCGGTCGCAGAGTTACAAAGCAGGTGAGCGCCTCTGCATCTTGTCACCTCAGCTGTCTGCATGCACTTCATTTTCCAGGTAGTAAGCTTCATTTCTCACACCAAAACTGGGCAAAACCAGAGGTACTTATGGGCTTCAGTCAAGGGGTGGGAAACGCACCTGTGATCAGAGTCATCAGAAGCTGTGGGGGTAAAATAGGGCGAGCTTCCAGTAGCCCCCACCTGTGGTCTGAAAGTATTCAATGGAAAATTCCGGAAGTAATTCGTAAGTTTTAAATTGCACACTGATCTGAGCAGCGCGATGAAACCTCGCACCAGCCCTCCTCCGTCCAGCCCTGGGCCTGCAGCATCCCTTCATCCTGCGTGCCCGCGCCAGGTGTACTTCCGGCCCTCTGCTCACCTGTGGCCATTCTGGTTGTCAGATCAGTGCCCAGACAGATGGAGCATGTACGGAACTTTTGTTACCACATAGTGCTATAATTGTTCTATGTTATTTTTACTTCTTGGGTTTTGTTTCTGTGCCTTGCTTATAAATTAAACTTTATTGTAGGTAGGTACACACAGGAAGAATCAGCACATGCCAGGTTCAGTGCTGCCTGTGGCTCAGGCACCCACTGGGGGCTCGGAATGTATGTCACTCAGATAAGGGGGATACTGCCCTTGCTTTTTGGATTTTTAAACATTGTTTTTATGGATACACCATGTCTTTGTCTTTTTGCTGATGGAGATTAACTGTTATGTGAAAAAGTACAGGTTTTACTGTTTTGGAAACAAAATACGATGAAAATATTTTGTTTGAGTCAGAATCTATTGCCTAGTTGATTTTTGATTTATTATGGTTTCTTCAGAACAACACAATCAGCTCTTATGGTAGAGATAGTTAATGGTACTACTTTGAAAATAGGTGTGTGTGTGTGTTTTAATTTTGTAGCGTGACTTCAGAGTGCTCTCTCTTACCCAGACAGGAAGATTTATATGTGGTAGAATTGTACACCTTGCACCTGTATAATTTTTAACAAATGTAAACCCAATAAACTTTTTAAAGGCTTAAATATTGTGGAATCTCTATAATTGAAGTAAAATTGTTACAGAGATTCTAAACAGTATTAAATAAGAGAAAGAGCCAAACTTTAATTTTTTTGAAAAGGTAGCATTATGCTCCATTCGGAAATTCTCAGAGTAATTAAATGTACATTGTTAGACCTTACTTAAGAGAAAAACAAAAAACAAGCAAAAAAAAAAAAACCCTCTGCTTTATAAAGTACAAGATAAGGCAAACTTGTCTCTGAGTAATTAGAAGGTTTGATGTGTACTAATACTTTTTCTTACGAGAAGTCTAAAAGTTTATCTGTAAAAACCTAATAGCATACAGTTAAATATTTGAATAATGGTTTATTTTTAAAAGTTAAATAATCACTTGTCTTTACAGCATTGTTTGTAGTTGCAAAAAATATATAGAATAAATAATCAGATACAGGGTGGAATTGATTAAATGGTGATATGTCCATGAAATAAATGACTATAGAATTAGTAAGAAAACTGACAATAGATTTATATTATATATATTAAGTTGGAAATATGCCCCAGAAGTTGACAAAAGATGCTAAAACTATGCATTAGAGGGATTCCATTTTTATAGAAATGTTTGCATGGCATGGATAAGAAGTCTTTTTTTAATATTTAATCTTTATAATATATTTGTCCATTACTATTTAGGCCCTTACACCACCCATTCCTCCAGCAATCACCACACTGTTGTCAACAAAAAGTCTTAAGTAAGCCCTGGCTGGTGTAGCTCAGTGGATTGAGCATGGGCCTGCGAACCAGATAATTGCTGTTCGATTCCCAGTTAGGACACATGCCTGGGTTGCAGACCAGTTCCCTGCAGGCCAATTCCCAGCAGGGGACGCACGAAAGGCAACCATACATTGATGTTTCTCTCCCTCTCCCCTTCCCCTCTAAAGATAAATAAATAAAATCTTTAAAAAAAAAAAGTCTTAAGTATACATGATTTCGCATAAGTTTTTTCTTCCCCTCACAGTTAACGGTAAATAGTTTTTCAATCGATAAAGAAGCCTCTTCATTCATTAGTGAGTCACCTGTGAGGGGCATGAGATACTGAGCACCCTCCCCAAATACTTATAACACTCACAACGTAGCTTAGTTCAGTGTTGCAATGGCAATATTTTTAGGGTGGTTTGGGGGTGGGGAGGGACTATTTAGTGTATCATTTACACCAGAACAGTCTGTAAGATCAAAGGAAGAGCAGCTAACACAGGTCGTGTCTTTGCAGGGATTTACTCCGTGGAACTCATAAATGACAGTTTGTACGATTGGCATGTGAAGCTGCAGAAGTAAGTGGCTTTTTTTCTGTCGAGCCTCCCTTTGTACTGGTGATAATGGCAGACTCTCGCAGTGGGAATTTTCCTTCTGAATTTGATACCTTTATAGCCGTAGCTGTTCCTCAAAATGTTAGACCCTGTTTCTGGATAGTGTTCAGGGCTTTGAAACGAGCTGTTTCCTAGGCTTCGTGGTAAATGCAGGGAGAAAGGAGAAAGGGAGGACCAGCTGTGGGATGAAGTGTGCTCGTAGGGTCAGTGGGACGGGCATGGACTGTGCACTGACGCACGGTTAGGAGCCTGGAGAGACTGCCTGTGACAGCCAGCTGTGGACAGTCTCCACACGTGGGGTGGCCAAAAAGTCCGTGTGGTTTTCTCCGTAAAATAAGGGCACAGTTTTTGTTTCCACTAGTAACTTCATTGATTTCGATATTTCGAGTATGCTGGCTATCTTCTGCGTGGTAGGATGTTGATTATTCTCAATTACTGTCTCGGTCTGGCTGCTGACAACTTCAGCTGGTCCACCCGGCTAGCCGTGGAGCATCATCCAGGGAGACATCTCCAGGATGAAGCTTCACAAACCACTTCTGACACGTTTGCTTAGTCACAGCACCTTCTCCATACACTGCACAAATCTTTTTTCATGTTTCAGTTACATTTTTACCTTCCTTGAAATGATAAAGCATAATATGCTGAAAATGTTATTTATTTTTTCTGTCTTTTTCAATATTAAAATGGCTGTACAAAAATTCACTAATTTTGGTAAATTTTTTAAAATACAAGCTGATATTAACAAAATTGTTTTCATTGGAACAACAAAATTGTTTCCAATGAGGTTGAAGTCAACAACACAATGTAACAAGATTTTTTGGAAAGAAATTAAAGACAACTAAGCACTACGGGAGCCATCTTACAAAAAAACAAAAACAAAAAAAAAAACAAACTTTTTGGCCAACCCAATGTAAGGAACATTTCTTAGAGATTTCACTTCTCTGGTCTGGTCCATGGTGAATTTATCTCCCTGAACCCCTTATCTAATAATGCAGTGTTAGAGAAAGAGAATAAATCTGTTTTTGAGTCCCTGAGAAAATCATGTACATATGGTCATTTCCTCTAGAATGTCTGCTAACTTTGAATCCCCTTAGGAGAATAGATTTAGAGTCCTGTGATCTTTGTTTGAACATTTAATCCCAAAGAGTTAGAGGCTATATATAGTACTTTGTTTTTCCATAGAACAGCTTTAGAACTTGTCTAAGGCTCTTTTTTAATCCTCAGGGTTGATCCCGATAGTCCTTTGCACAGTGATCTTCAGATCTTAAAAGAAAAAGAAGGCATAGAATATATTTTGCTTAACTTCTCTTTTAAGGTAAGAAAATTGTGATGGGATGCCATATGCTTCTAGTGGGAATGTAGATTTCCGAGCAGTTGCTTTGGCAAACAGTTCGGTATTGCTTGGTGCAGCTCCCTGTGGCTCCGAAGTCTCCAGGTGCTCGCCCTGCAGTTAGGAGTTCCCAGGGCACAGCAGCCCCCAGGAGGGAGGAGAACTGTGGTCTTCCTGAAGCTGTGGTCTTCCTGAATAGAGCTGTGGGCCACAAGACAGAAATACAAGTCTGTGACTCAGAAATACAATGCTGAGCAACAGAAGCACATTTTGTGCGATTTCATGTCTATGGAACTAAAAAACAGGTCAAACTAAATTATGTTGTTTAGGGCGTGGATTCTCAGTGGACGCATTATCACCCCTTGGGATGGGGTGAAAATTGGTCCTTTGAGTGATATAAACATAGATATTGCCATGGGGGTTTTAAATCTTTTGTTTAAAATAAACCTAGGAAGTGTTTCTAAGGAGTTGTGTTTGGATTATGTGGTGCTTCCTTCTGACCTGCTGTTTTAGATCGAGAGGAAAAGCGTATGCAGCCGACCTGAGCTGTCAGAAATGTGCTTTCTATCTTCTTCTCCTGTCAGGGTTGAATTTTCACAGTTTGTAGGTTCCGCAGAATCTGTTTAAGGGTGGTCACAAGTAGGGAGTGAAAGTAAGTTGCTGGAATTATGCTGCTGCTTCCCTCAGTTGAAACCATTGTTGTGTTCCTTGGCAGTAACTGGGTCAAACAAATACTTTCTTAGCTAGCTCCCTTTCTCTCCAGTCGCTTCTTTAAGATGCATTAGTTATTTCCTTACCCCCTTTTATTTGAACATAGAAATGGGAGGTAATTTCTCTTAGACTTGTGGACACACCTTTCTTAGAGGGGACGTGCTGTCTGCCTGCCCCACGGCTGTTGACAAGTGAGGGGAGACTGACCTCTGACCCTCGGCCTCCTCAGCTCCCACCTGGGCTTCCGTTCATTATTAGAAAAGGCTCTTGTTCTTCTGTTTCCAGGACTCAAGACTTGTGTTGGGTAGCCTCGGAATTAGCTGCATTTTCTTGTCCCTCATCTTCTCTTCCTATATTTTTATCAGGTCTGGTGATCTTTCTGTTTAATTGGAGCACTCAGTCTGTTTGCAGTCAGTGTTCCGATACCTGTGCTGAAATCTATCTTGTAGACGCGTTCTGTGGCCTTCTTACTCCTTGCTCTTTTTCTCATTCTCTTGGATATTTTTTCTTGATTGCTCCAGTTTCCCAGCTCTGTTAGCGTGGTACTCGCACAGTCTTCTCTTCTGGGTTCTGCATATGAGAAGCCTTTTCAGTACATTCCTCTATGTCTTGTGTTCTGCCCTTTTTTATCTCTCCAGGCTTTATTCTGGATGTTTTTTTGCCCTATTTTTCAGTACACCGAATTTCTCTCCCACTAAGTCTCCACTCTGTTTAAACCCATTAAGTTATTAATTTTAGTTACTATATTTCTAAATTTCAGAATTTCTGGTAGTTTATTTTTATAATTGTATTTCTCTGCCAGGATTTTCAGTCTTCTTTTTGCTTGCACATACTCAGCATTAGTTATTTCAAAATCTATGTCTGATAACTCTGTTGTCTTGACCCTTTGTGCTTTGGGGTCTGTTTGTTTCTTGCTTTGACTACGTTTAGTGATGAGCATTATGTATGAAAGACTTGAGAGCTGAGTTGAGGCCTTGGGTGACACTCTGCTCCAGAGAGGATGCATGCCTACCCTGTTAGGGGCTTGGGCACCAGCGGCCAGGGTCACTGAGGCTGTTGGGCATTGAGATGATGTAAAGCTGGGCCTCATTCCCGGTCTGCCAGGGGCCGGGCCACCGTGTGAGGGCCCGGCAGGGCCTGTTCTCAGAGGGCCCTAAGCTCCAAGTTTTCCTGCCTCCCCAGTGAGCCTGTGAGTCCCATTCAGCTTGTCAGCGTTTTTCCTTTCTCTTCTGTAATGGAAAGAAAACCCAAGGGGTAAAACGGGTCCTGCTGTCTAGAGTTCCTTTTTCTTCTTGATCTTAGCTCTGCAGTGATTGGCCCTTTGTCCACCTTTTCTAGTTCTTAGCCGGGGGGCTGATCCAACATACCTCCTCATTGCCAGACTGTCCCTCCATGTGGCCGTGTGGCAGGGGGACCCTTTGTGCACATTTCCCAAGTTTACTAAAGCACTGCTCTGTTTGGGCAGGATCCTAACTTCATTTGTATTTACTTTCATTTTTACGCCATTTTATTTTTGGTACTATTTTTACTTTTATGACCCTCATTCATCATCAGACAATAAATGTACATGTTCTTTATAGACTAAAAGCTACTAAATAACATAGTATTGAGGATGTTCTTAAAATTAATTAAATTTGCTCATTTTCTTTTCAGGATAACTTTCCGTTTGACCCTCCATTTGTTCGAGTGGTATTACCCGTTCTCTCTGGAGGGTGAGTTGCCATGACTTTTTCCGGGACATTGCTCGCCAGGGTCTTTGGGGGGCTAGTTAAGTGCCAGGGGGCCTGGAGCCCTCGGCCTTCCTGGCGTTTCTGACCGAGTAGCTCTGAGGTGAAGCTGATGTTGCTAATCTGAGACTGCAGTGTCAGAACCAGTGGGATGAACCATTATGTTGTTTACAGGTAGTTTTTAGTGGTGCCTGTTTGTATATATTTCACCATTAGAAACCAAATGTATGTAAAATATACATTGTAATTGGCTCTTCAGAGACAATTAGGACTGGGGGAGACCCCGGGAGAAATCGCAGGCAGCCTCACAGACCTGTGGAGCTGGCTGCCGACTTCCTTGTAAAGGCGGTGGTCACAGTCTGGCGGAATCAAATGGTGGCTCTGTGCATTTTCACTGAACCTTGGGAAAGACCAGACTTTTGTACGAGGCCGGTTATGAAGTGTCCTGTGGACCCTCAGAGTAGGAGCGACTGAGCTACTTTGGGAGTTCTAGGACACTCAGCTGACCAGTTCCACTTTGGGAGATAATCCATTTATGAGTAAAGTCCAAAAATATTCACTCTTTCCTTTGATCACCTCAATGGTTGATACGGTTTCACTGAGATTAAAAAAAAGAGGGTGGCACCCTGGCCGGTAGCTCAGTTGGTTGGAGCATCGTCCCTGTACGCCAGGCTCGAGGGCCGGTCTCCTGGCTCACGCAGCAGTCAGCTGGTGAGTGCGTCAGTGCGTGGGACACCCAGCTGGTATTTACCCTTCTCTAAAATTGATGAATGAAAAAATAAAAATAATAATAAAATGGGGGAGGGAGCTGGTGGTGGAAGAGAGTATAAGGAGGATAAATGGTAATAGAAAAAATATAATAAAAATAAACTATTAAAAAATAAGGTGACTACAAATGATTAAGGCAAGGGTTTGGGAAAATTATGTAAATTCAGGATAAATGTATAGAAATACTTTTATGAGATCATTTTGAAATCTGATACAAACTTGGCCAGCATAGACTTTTCACATTTTCGCTGTGAGAAATGAGAAGACTATTAAGATTTTACGTTTTTAAACAGTTTACGGCCTGGTTGTGGAGACACACACACCGAGGCGGGAAGGCAGCCGTCCCAGCCGTCCCTGCGGCACCACAGGGTTGGGGGGGGGCGCATTCCGTGGTGCCCGCGGGCCCCGAACTGCAGGGACACTCAGGTTCCTCACACGGTCCTGCCACCCTGACAGCAGTTTCTGTTTGTCCATTGTCTTCTGACCTTCCCACGTATGCGTATTTTCTTACTGATGGTACTTTGAACATTAAGAATGTTCGTGTTGAACTTAACTGAAACTGAGAATTCTGTGTGATTTCTGTTTTCTTTTAAGGTACGTGTTAGGGGGCGGTGCGCTATGTATGGAACTTCTCACGAAACAGGTGAGTCTCCTCCTGTGGTGCTCATGGCTCCAGCCTCCACGGCGTCTGTTTGTGTGACGTAGACTCTGAGCATTCAGCCCTGTTGCAAAAGCACCTACTTTAAAAAATTTTTTTAAGTTTTCTTTTAATAGCAGCCACTTTTACTAATGAAAAATCTATGTAAGGTAGAGCAATAAAATGACATTGTACTTGGTTTTGTTATCCCTAGGATAGGAAGTAAGTAATATGTAAGGTTATAGTTGGCTCATGTTTGCATTTAAAACAGGTTTTTTTTTTGACTGTGAGATTTTGGAAATCGTTCAACTTTTCTTTTACTTCTTGACTACAAACATCTTCATATTCCTTTGCTATTGTTGAGCTGTTATGTGCCACTTTGTGAAGCTTTCCTAAGCGGGAGGCAGGAAGCTGCGTGTGTTAGAGAAGGGCTTCTGTCTTCCTCCAGGGCTGGAGCAGCGCCTACTCGATAGAGTCGGTCATCATGCAGATCAACGCCACGCTAGTCAAAGGCAAAGCCAGAGTGCAGTTTGGAGCCAATAAGGTACTTTCATTAAGAATGTCATGTCATCTGTAAGATATATTTCCTGTTATCTTTTGAGGCTTTTTCCTGTTCTTTTAGTCTTTGTTATTTTTACTACGGATAAATATATGTAATTTTAACTGTTACTGGCATGTATACACTAATAAGTAAAATATTATATGTACTTTGAAGTTTCCCCCAATTGAGATCATGTAACAATAGTTAATTCCCAGTGAGCGTTTATGTGCTATGCTCTCACCTAAACTTTTACTTGTATTAACTCTTTCAGTCCTCTTAATAACCCAAAATAGGTGTATTCTTCCTGTCCTCACTGTGTAGACGAGGACATGGAAGCCCACAGGGCTCAGGCGCCTCACCTCCGGTGACAGGTGGCAGAGTGAGGACGGGAGCCAGACAGCCCGACAGCAGTGTCGGCCGCTGAGGCCTGCCCCCGTGTCCTGTCCGTGCCGTTTGCAGACACACGAGCGGCCCAGGATGGGCTCCGAAGTCAGCATGTTTCAGGAAAATGTTAGTGGGATGGAAATCATTCTGCTCTAACAGTAAAAAAAATTGGCTCTTTCTAAAATTCTATGTGAATATTTTGTTACATGCCAATCAAAAAATGATCAATCTAAATATGTACACAGCCGTGTCCCACATCAGACCATGTGTTCACCAGACTCTCAATGCACAGAGGAAGCAAAAAATTAAAAAGACTTTTAAAAAATCATTTATTTGGGATAAAATAATAAAATAACTGATCTTTACTTTTAGCTCTTTCAACAGCCCTTTCTTTACACTGGAACAAAATACCATTTTATATAAAACCTGTTATTTATTGAACACTAGTGAATTACGGTTGCTTAACTACTTTTAACTAGCACTTCTCAGATGATTTAAATGTGACAACAGGACCATTATGTAATATGGCACCAAAATTTTATTTTTCTATGATCACTGTATAGTTCCTAAAGTAGAAAACATATACAAATCTTAAGTCATCTGTAAGTTGACTATCTAGAAACACTGTTGATATTTTGGTGTGCATCTAGTCTTTAATATTTTCTTCCTGGCATTTATTTATAAGTAACATTTGATGTTAAATTTAATTGTTTTTAAAAAAATATTTCACAGTATCACTTTCCTGAAGGAGAAAATAGAAAAGGTTTAGAACAGTGATCATTTTGAGTGATCGAGAGAACATTTTACCAATAACTTGCTGTGTAAACTGAGCTCTCTGGGCTTTTGTATTTTGATCTGAAATACAGCTGGTCTGGATATATTAATTCTCTTCCAGTTTTATAATTCCATACCAATACTCTGTCTTTGCTCATAAGTCCTCCTGGAATCAGTCAATGCCAAATAATTGCTTTAACCTTTTACATTTCCATGATTTATAGTTTTCTTAGCAAATAAATATAGCCATTTTGGATAGAATGCTATCAAGCAGCTAAAAACTGTTTGCATATTAAAGTATGTCTTAGCACATACATTTTTTAAATGAATTGTTTTGACAAAATTTGACTCTTTCATTTTCTTTACTAAGAAGACATTTGTCTGTTAAGAATATGGACACTTTGCTTGATATGAGTTTCACCTCCCAGGAATCTAAAGTTAGCAGGGAATAGTCTGAGTGTTAACTTTTAAAATACTGTCAAAATGTAAGGTGCTCAATGGTGTTTAGAAATATGCTAACATTTGTGTGTGTGTGAGACAAGGCTGCAGGCTCATTCAGACGTGCTTTTGTAAGTCAGAGCATCTCTGGAATGGTGCTCAACAAAGTGCTGAGAACTCTTGTTTCTGGCAGAGGGCATATTGGAATATTGGGGGGTGAAGTGGGCTAGAGATGGAAGTCTTTATTTACTATAAATCGCTTGTGCTCTTTGAATTTCTTCTTGCCATGTTACTATTCAAAAATATTTAAAATATTTTAAAAGCCACTATCCTCTATTGGTTGAAAGTAAATGAAAGAGTTTGCCTCCCCAAACTAGTACTAAAATTATATAAATATACTTAAGTACTGGAAAACAGTAAATTTGTCCATCAGCACACCTGAAATTTGGAGACAGTGTCTGGCTGTTGGAGCTGAGGCTTTGCCGCTCTACACAGGCAAGACTCCCTGCGGTCTGGGCTTTGGCTCCCGGGCTCAGCCCACAGGAGCCGAGGGCATGCGATGGGCAGGATGCAGCTGGCCAGGTTGGTTTTTGTTCAGTCAACACGAATTCAGCCTGTCCAAAAGCTGAATGTTTTCTGGTTTGAAGGTAACATTTTATCGGGCGTGCTTTTTTGGATACACGTTCGAAGAAAGAGTCTGAGTCCCACTTACTCCCCAGCAGCATCCAGTAACTCACTTCACGCACGTGGACAGACACTGGGTCCAGGAGCATCTGTCTGTGCTGTGCGGGTGGGCGGGGCTTACAGAGATGGACCCGAGAAGCTGTGGGGGTTTATTAGAGTGCAGGGGGGTTGTCGTGCTTCTGAAATGGTAGAGCACAATGCAAACGAGGGTATTCATGAAAAATCTTTTTGAAATGGAATGAAATTATTTCCTGTGTTCTTTTAAGCACAGTGGTAACACATCCATAAATTATTTTTCATGATTTTCATCTACTTAGAGTTTTGATTTAAAATGTATAATTCTCTTTCAGAATCAATATAATCTAGCAAGAGCCCAACAATCTTATAATTCCATTGTACAGATACACGAGAAAAATGGTATGTTTAATTCAATGCATATTTATTGCCATTTATGAAGTTTTACTGTTGATATTTATCCTGTTTTATTTTGGTTTTTGCTTTAATTTTCTATACAGTACAGTTACCACAGTCAACAAATTTAGCTTGAGGATATGCACACTGTGCTTCCTTCAAAGTCTTGGAGTCCTAAATACTTGACCTGAGACCCCTGAGTGAGATTGAAGGTTTTCGAGTAGATTGGTGAAAGCATCGCTTATTCACCTGAAATGAGAGGTGTCAGCACAGGGACTGAGAAGTGAGGTCGTTGAGGCAGCTCTGCAGGGGGTGTCCTTGTTCGTGCCGAGTGCCTGTCACCCTGGGTCCTGAGCCCACTGTTTCTGAAACACCTTCAGATCATAGATGATGGAAAGGTTTTGACAGTTGTACACATTTACCTATTCAAATCAAGTCCTGATTTCTGTGTCCACTTAGGAGTGTGTGACTTGCATATTTTTTTAAATGCTAAAATATCTTTCATAAACTTCATCGGCCTTCCGCACATTTTGCTTGTGTTCACAATGCTCGCTTTGAGTATTTGTCTCTAACAGAGAGACGTGATAAAAGTCGACTTGGAATCAGCAGACCTATTTTCAGTGACGCTTGTGTCACTCACTAGCTCTGTGGCCCTGAACAAGTCCTGTTACCCCTCCGCCTCAGGTTCCTCCTCTCTCAAACGGGCATGATGTCTGTCTTGCCAAGCTTGTGAGGGGAGAAAAGCATGCCCAGCAAGCTGTAGTGAAGTGCAGGGAGGATACTGATCTTAGTCGTGCTGGTGACAGTGAGGCTTCTTGGGTGCGGAGTAAACAAATTAATGGAAATAGAGAAGTTTTCTTTAAGGGGGTATTTACAGAACTATAACTATTCTTTACTTTGCTAGAAATGTGCTGGCTTATGACTTAACAGTAGTGCTTTGTGCTCACTTGTATTTTCATGGCAAAGGAAGCTTGTCGTGTTTCCAGTGACTGCTCACTTCTGAAGGAACCGCACAGGCAGAGCTGGGGGCGTTGGGGTTCTGATTCCAGACCTAAGCACGCAGCGAGCGGTGCTCTTTCTGCTGTGAAGCACAGCACACTGGGATCTGCATTCCAAACGGTGTTCAGGTTTCTGAAGAGGGGAGTGAGCAAACCTGAGGGCCAGACTGGATTTTCATAACAATCTTCTCCAGCCCCTAACTTAGTAGAGGCAGAAAGCCCATGAGCTGCGTCATAGCCGCACGGCTGCACCGCAGACCGCGATGCGCCTGTGCTGTTGTGGGGCAGTGTCGCACCAAACAGAACTTAGTGTCGTTTGCCCAGAGCTTAGATTACGGTTGATATTAGATATTTTTTCCTTTTAAGCATTTTAACAAATTTTATTTTTAGAGAAGGGGAAGGGAGGGAGAAACAGAGGATAGAGAAACACTAATGTGTGAGAGGTACATCAGTCGATTGCCTCTTGTGCACCCCTAGCCGAGGACTTGGCCTGAAACCCAGGCATGTGCCCTGGCCCAGAATTGAACTGGTGACCCTTTGGTTCACAGGCGGACTCTCAATCCACTGAGCCACAACAGCAAGGGCGGAATCGTATTTTTTTCTTATTTTAAAAAATTGGTTGATTGATTGATTGATTTCCAAAGTGGCACTGTAGTGTGCATTCAGAAATGATTACCGACTGTGCTGTATTTGGGAGAGCGTGGGTGGGCGTAGGTCAGCTATGTGAAAGAGTCAGAATCAGGGATGGACTCCAGTTTGTCTTCTGCTGCTGCAGGGTCTTGGGCACAGTCACCAGTGCACCTGCTGCGGTGGCCTCCTCACTGGCGAGGTGACAGCGTGGCACTGATGGCAGTCCCAGTTCCTGTCTCGAAACGCCAGGATTTTGTTTGGGCGCAGGTTGTTTTCACCAAGGTTTTCTTTTAAATTCAGAATCTAAATGGAATACGAAACCCAACTTGTAGTCTGATGTTCCACACTCATCTTCAGCCAGAGATGCTCTTAATATAGAGATCTTGTGTGGAAAACTCAAGTATAGTTTATTCATAAAAAATAACTTTAGACAGTCTCCCACTTACAATTTTTAGACTTAGGATTTTTTTGACTTTATGATGCTGTGGAAGTGATACACATTTATAGAAACTGTATTTTGGATTTGAATTCTGATCATTCCTGGGCGAGTGGTATGTGGTGTGAAACTCCCTCTCGATGCTGCACAGCAGCGGCCCAGGCAGGGATCCCGGGAGGGCAGCACCAATGCCCCAGGGCGCCCTCACTGCTCGAGATACTTCCGCCCCCTGTAGGCTGGTGCTTGCGTGACACCGCCCTCCCTCCCCTGCCTAGTCAGTCCAGAGCATCTATATTGTAAATGCATCAAATGTTTGTTACTAACACCAGTGTGAGTTTAATTTTTACAGTAGGTTTAAACATGAAAATTATCAGTAGGTAAAGTAGCTAACCTTAATAAAATGCCTTGACTCCTAGTTAAAGAATTAAGTATTTTAATTTCTTTTCCATTCTCTTTCAGGCTGGTACACCCCCCCGAAGGAAGATGGCTAAGTGTACTGACTGTCGTGTGTTTGGACCAATGTTGCTTTAAAGAAAATCTTTCCAACGAGCAGACAAGCTTTGGGTGCCCCCGTCACAGCCGTACTGAAGACGTTAGCTCATAGATATTTTAGTGGATAATCTGTCAACTGACATCCTATATAAGTTATAGCCTTCTCATTTTGCTCATTTTATTCTCTTGGACTGAGCAGTGGGGCTTCACTGTATTTTTCCTGATAAATACACACACTGGCTACTCCTGATCATCTCTTTTTCTTAAACAATGAAATCTGTTAAGCAGCAAGCCAGCATCAGGTAACTGAAGCTGTGACTTTAGGGTAACTTTTCCATAATGAGCGCGTGTGTTACCAGGACTTGCAGTATGTTGTTCCATTCAGAGCCAATAAAGGTCTATTTGCTGTTTAATATTGGTTTAGAAAATTTAAGGTCTTCAACATCATAGTAGCCTTTTCAGATTTAAACCATTTTATGATATTGCCAAAATGATGATAGGAAACCTACTCAATAAATTGTTAAATGTTTTTATGACCACGTGAAGATATGAGCTGTTTCCCGAAGATATGCTCTTACCTGAGTTGCGTTGTACTTCTCAGGCAAAGTGAAGCAGGGCTGGGCCAAGTAGGCGAGTAAGGCCTGCAGTCGTGATTTCCACTGGGGCATCGCTGTCTTGCTGGGCTGAATCTGTTTATTGGTTCAGGATGTCTTCTGAAGGTCTGCAGTATAGATCTTGAAGTTATTTAAAATACTAAGTCATTTTACATTTCCATTTTATTAACGGGATGTTGCAATCATTTGTAAACTAATACATTTATAAAGTGATTGGCACACACTTCTTGAACAAAAGCTGCACACTTAAGTACAAAAAGACACCTAATTTGGAGACTTAAAACTTTTGCTATGGTCATAACAATGGCTTTTACTTAAAGACTAATAGGAACTCTACACATGTTAATTCTTTTTATAAAACCTGACTCAAATCAGTATACCCTCCATTTTATTGCCTTACCTGAATCAGTCCTGTTTGATTGGTAATAGATTTTTGTATACCCACAATTGATTTAAAAGTAAATTCTAGTTATTAAGCACTTTTAAAATGAAATCTAGAAGCACACTTTTCTGCACAAACCAGTTACAAAGTTGAAAAGTGTTTTTCTTACGCATTTGCTTTGAGATGCAGTTTTTAACTTTGTAAACCGCATTGGAGAGATTTGGCACTTCTGCATTATCGTGTGGTTGAGAGGACAGCAGAAAGGGAGTTCCTGGTGTTCTTGTTCACGTGGTTATAGTTCTGATTGCTCAGTTGCTCGGACAAGTGACAAGGCAGGATTCTTTAAAGCATTACAGTTCCTTAAACCTAAGGCTAAATCTTGAATACATTATGGAATTCTTTAATATCCTGATGGCTAGCAGATTGACAGCTGCACATTTGGCATGCTTTGGGTTTTGTTTTTTTTTTTTTGGAGTTTATTTTTCATTGCAGATTTATTTGGCAATGTACAGTAAATTTTGTAAACTTGCATCAAGTTTATGAATAAAGAATCATTTAAAAAATAACTCTGTCATTTTCCCCTCGAGAGATACTCTTAGCTTCAGGTGTCTGTAGGTTCTATTGAGTTTCTAGAATAGGATTCTATATGGTGCGGTGGGGTGAAGAGAGACTTGAGAGGAAGAGAGCAGGTTGATTTAATGAGAGAAAGCTAGAGACCCCAGAAATGGTGTGTGTGGACATTGCATACTCAGGTCTTCCTCAACCTTTTCCCTCTCCCACACTCGTTCTGTAATAGAAACTCATGGCTGTCCCTAGGTCCCCCAGGTACAATAATCTGCTCCTTCTGGACCCATAGCCTCCTTCACACACTTGTTAACTTACCTCACAAGAAGTCCAGAGGTAGGAAAGCTCCAGGCACTGCGTCTGGGAGATTTTCCTGTGTTGGTTTCACTCTTGGATTGAAAGTTATGTCTGGACGTGCAGTCACGCTACTTCATCCAGAGGTACATAATGAGGTACATAAGGAGACACTGCCTTCCAGTGTCCCCTTAGGTCATATGAAATTTTGAGAAGCCCCCGATTTGCCCTCCCCCTACCCCCGCAAGCGTGCTGCCCCTCACTTTTCCGTGCCTGGCACTAGGGCCACCCTTAAACTAATGTGCGGTGAAAAGCATGAAAGCGTCGTGATTATTGGGGACCAGTGACTCTCAACATGCGATTTGGGGAACCTTGGGGACTCTGTGAGACCCTTTTAGGAGATTTTGAAGGTCAAAATTCTTTTGCTGATATTAAAAACATTGCCACTTTCGGTCTCCACAAGCGTACAGTGGAGTTTTCCAGAAGCCCCGTGACGCGATATTGCCATAGACTACTCAGAAGCCGATCAGCTGCCTTCTATTAAGCCAGAAATTAGAGGTTTGCAAAATATAAACATGGCACTATTCACTATTGGGGGGTTATTTTTTATGACAAATGTTATTAATGTGCAATGGATTTATTACCTTAATGTTAAAATATTTTAATATGGAACGTATGAGCAGACATAACCCACATAAACAAGGTCTTTGGGGTCATCAATATTTAAGGAGTTCTGAGGCCAGAATGTTTGAGACCCACTCGTGTAGACCAATTATTGGGGATGGAGCCAGGGCTTCGCCAGCAGGGGAGTGGCCGCAGTGGAGGTTGGGGCCAGGCGCATCTGCAGCGCTCATTTTCCCCGCACCCGGGGTTTACAGACAGAACTTGCATTGGACTCGGGGTTGGGGTTGGGAGGGGAGCCCCCGCCGCAGCCCTGGGGTGGAGGAGAACGCAGGGTGCGCCGATGCGGGGTGGGGACTGCGTGCGGTTGGTCGTCCAGCCGGGCCACGCGCGGACAGGTACGCGCCGATGCCGTCCGTTGGGTCACTGGGCTCGCAGTACTAACAGGCGTGGAAGGGCATGCATCTCTGCCTTCAGAGACTCCTGGGAGTTAGAGAAAGAGGCGGTGGCTGCGTGCAGCGCCAGGGCCAGCACCAGAAGCGGAGGCGCTGCTGTGAGTGTGGGACTGACAGCGGACTTAAGAACTTCCGGGAGGTCTAGGTCCCAGCAACTCGCGCCGGAAGCCAGTTTCCGGAAGTCCCAGGCACCGGAAGTGGCGCGCCTGCGCAGAGCTCGCTGGCGGGGATCGGTGCCGCTTCCCAACCCCACTGAGCGGTGGTCCAGCTGCCCGGACAGGCGGGGAAGAATGGAGCGGGTGGACGGCGGCGGTGGGGCCGATCGCGGCGCCTCAGCAGACCCACGGAGCGCCTTCGTGCTGAGTAACCTGGCGGAAGTGGTGGAGCGAGTGCTCAGCTTCCTGCCCGCCAAGGCGCTGCTGCGGGTGGCCGGGTGAGGAGAGGCGGCGGGCTGGCCGGGGTTTGTCCCGCAGGGTGTGCGGGCGGGGGGTCGGGCAGTGAGAGGGAAGGAAGGACGCCTGCTCACAGCCCTTTGTGGTCGCGCCCCCAGCGTGAGCCGCCTGTGGAGGGAGAGCGTGCGCAGGGTGCTGCGGGCCCAGCGCGGGGTGGCCTGGATCGCGGCGGGCCCGGTGGACGGCGGCCACCCGCAGGAGCACTGCCTGGTCCGCGTGGCAGCCCGGGAGCTCGAGGCAAGTGAGACGGGTGTGCGCACTGGCCTCTGCCGGGTGGGTGGGTCAGCCTTTGAGAGGTTGGTCTGTTTTGATCCCAGTTTCACGCGTGGGCTTTATCTGTATAGGTTGGGGAGCATTTTCTCATGTTGTGAAAAGATGGGAAATGTCAGGTTTCATGACTGTATTGTAAGGATGTGCCATGATTATATTTGGCCAGTCCTCTAATGTTGGGCACTTTATGTATCCAGGTTTCTACTATTGTGATAATTCTATGCAGAACCTTTCCTTTACCTGCTTCGGTTGAAGCTAGTATGGTCATTGTTTTGCAGGGAAGGCAACTAGGTCTCTTTAGCTTAGTGTCACATAAAAAGGCCAAGAATTAATCTTGAACCCCAATATTTCAAACCTTGATGCCGTTCTCTTTTGTGGTGTATCTCTGGGCCCCACTTGTGAAAGATGGGCATCACCTGGGCAGTTGAAAACTTGAACTGAGGAGGGGTCAGAGAGGTAGCCTCCTGAGCACAGGTGACAGTGAGGCTGTGGTATCTCACTGGTCAGTGGGGGGAGCCATTGGAGAGGGATTTGCCAACACCAAGCTCCTTCATTTCCCTAGACTTTAGCTCGCATTACCCACAGACACGGATGTAGCATAGCCACTGCATTAGTTTGACAGTAAAGTCAGGGAATTATTACCACAGATATCTTTCTCCTGTCTGAGCCTCCTGTTCCATTCATATTTTGCCAGTCTTCCCAGTGACATCCTTCAAAGCAAAAGGATTTAGTTTACAATTTTATGTTCATTTATTTGTCCTGTTTTTAAGTCTTTGATCTGGAACCGTTTCTCCAGCTTTCCTTGATTTCCACAACTTGGACATGTGTGTAAGTTACAAGCCAGTTAGTTTGTAAAGCATATGATGTATTTTAGGTTTGGATTATGTACCTTTGGCTGTAATGTTCCAAGTGATGCTGTTCTCTTTTCATTGCAGCCTACTAGCCTCATATGGTTTCCATCGGGCCCATCTCTGGTGATATTACGTTTGATTTTTTTTCCTAACATGGTATCAGCCGGGTGTCGCTACTATAAAATTACTCGTTTCCACTGTGGTAAATATTTGGTGGGGAGATACTTTGAAACTATGTTAATATCCTCTTCCAATGTATTCATTTATTTACTTTTGTCTGTGTAGCTTCCTAGTCTCTTATTAACTTTTTTATTAAAAAATATTCTAAGTTTCCACTAAAATTTTTATGGAACATCTTGCCATTTGGAACTTCTGGATAATGGAACCGGGTTCCAGTTGTCTTCCTCTGTGCTGTGAGAACATCTCTTGGTGAGGATTGTCATTGCCCAGGCTTCTGGTGAGAACTGGGAAGGGCAATTCAGCAACTGCTCTTTAGTGGGTACCAGAAAAGAGAGAATTATAAAGCCTCAGCGCCAGACCTCCCGTCTTTAAGAATAGGAAGCCTAAGGCCTAAACACTTTCTAGGGTCATTGTGCGGGTTTATGACAGTCGGCATGAACGCCTAAATCTTTAAAAATTTCTCTCCTTTCCTCTCTGCAGCAGGTACCACAAACTCAAATGGCTCCAAAGTTAGGCAGGTGTCTCTGGTGAGCCAGGTGTCTCCTTGCGACAGTGGAGGGAGCTCGCCTCTGTGTAGCCCCGGGCAAGGGGAATGCACGTGGTCTGTGGCCAAAACGTCCAGTTTTTCGGGAGAGTCTGGAACTCCACATGTTATGTGAATATGCTGTGGAAGTTGAAATGTTACATTGCATTCTGGGAAGATGCCTTGTATAGTGGGGACACTGTATCCCTGTGTTTTACACTGCCCTGAGGCTGAGACACAGCAGTGTCACTGTGTCTCAGCATCTTTCATGAGTTTATCTCAATGGAATCTAACATGAGACATCTTATGTACCCTCAAAATGTAATGGATAAGCATTTTCCATGTAATTAACATTGAGACTTTGCTATATGGTAACTACCTCATTCCATCGTGATAGTCGGATGTCTTTGAAAACAACCAGCTTTGAAGGAAACATATATTCACCCTTTTCATTTAATTCAGCCACTTTACCACTGTCTGTGAGGTTTAGTGGGAAACATGAGCTCGAACATACCCAGCTCCTCAGTGGCGCATCACTGGGATGTAAGCATAAGGCACGGGAGGCCCAGTCCTAGGGGGCCGAGGAAAGGGCTTTGTGGAAGAGGAGGCACGTAAGTTGTGTCTTGGGGGACAAGATATTAACTCAAGTGGGAAAGGAAGAGAGCCGCAGAAGAATATGTACAGCAGTTTGTGTGTGTGTATGAGAGAGATCATAAGCAAAAGACCCCTGTAGGAACATGGCCGGAGTGAAGGAATATTTAATTTGATGGGCAAGGCGATGAGTAGTGTGATCACTGGCACTTTCCCTCCTTTGCTGAGCTGTTTCTGTTACTGTAATGCCTGTTCAGGTAAAGCCACAGGCTTTTTTTTTCTTTCTGGTACTTATTTCCTTAAAAGCTTACATTATTATGAAAATAAACTTCTTTGGTAAGTCTGGAATGAGTTTGGCTTGAAGAAATAATAGATGTTTAACAAATAAATGAACTGAAAAGGAAAGAGTGGGAGTGAGACATTGAGAAGTGCAGGGACTCGGAATAGGCCGGCCTTGACCTCCTGAAGGAGGGCAGGGCAGCCGTCAGGTGAACCCTGCAAGACTCCCAGGGACCGCAGAAGCACTCAGATTCCTGTGATCTAATTCCAGTTACTCTTTTCTTTACAGAATGTTCACATCTTACCACAGACGGTTCTTTACATGGCTGATTCTGACACTTTCATTAGCCTGGAAGAGTGTCGAGGCCACAAGAGAGGCGAGTATCAAAAGAAAAAATTTGGGGTGTTTTTGTTTCCTTCTGTACCATCTGTTTGGCGTTAAATATGGTCCTCATCCTGAGGGTGACTTTCTGAGGCTCTGGGCCTCCCCTCTGTAGAATGCACAGATATGTTGTCTCTGAAGCTTGAAGAGCTCTTTGCTTCAAGTTGTGGCTTCTGAATCTTGCAGTACAATTGAAGCAATTTCTTTAGAAAGGTATTTTTCTCACTTTGAAATACTTTCCTTCTCCAGGCCCTTCTTTTTATTATTATAACAGGATGTATATCTTTGGCTGTTCTCGCCTTGCTTGGCAGTGGATAACGGGGACCTGCACACTGCAGGTGTTGGACTGAGGCAGTGGGTTATCGTCCGGTTGGACCCCAGGGGGGGCTGTTTCCGCAGCTTTAATCACAGCTGACCAGAGAGGTACCATAGCAAGTCTAAAATTTCGCTGCTGCAGCAAAGTCTGACGTCACTGGAGCGAAAGCTGTATGTGAACAAAGCAGAAAGACCCGCTGGTGATGCTAACAGGTCAAGTTTAGGATTAAAATGTAAAACAGGCCCCAAACAGGAACACAGTTGTTTTCCTCAAAGTTTTTCAACTTCCGTATGAAGCGTTCCGGTGTAAAATGACTTACACGCTATTCAGTGCTTGCTTTTCCCACCACACCATCAGACGTGAGCTTGCCCGGGTGACATCTGACACTGTTGCACTGTGTCCTTACAGCAAGGAAAAGAACGACAATGGACACGGCGTTGGCCCTGGAGAGGCTGTTCCCGGAGCAGTGCCAAGTCCTGGGGATCGTGACCCCAGGGATTGTAGGTGAGAGCAAGGCCCCGGGATGATTTCCTGCCTGGCATTTATATTTTTGGCCATGTGAAACGCATTGGTGGCAGTCCCTGCAATCGTGGTGTCATATCCCTGGGCTGTCTCTCCACCCCAGCTGTCCCGAGTATCTTCCCAGGAGCCGTGCACGAGGAGGAAACGGTTGCCTTCTGCCCCTCTGCAAACCAGCGCTGGTGAGCATGCGCACAGTCACTGCCTCTGCTGAGTGAGGGCAGGGGCTGCCCCTGGAACTGCTGTTTCTCTGCTTGGCTGCCACTTTCGAGTTGGTCGCATAAGCAGTGCCATTTTCCCAGTTTGCTGCTCTGAATTTTTGCTGGTTTTTATGGTTCGATTGTTTTCTCTAGTTAAGGGGAGAGAGACGCTCTGTTGAGGCAGTGACAGGGGAGTGGTTCAGCCACTTGGTCTGGAATCTGGCCCCACTGATGCTTTCTGTGTGGACTGCACAGGACCAGCCCCCACGGGGTGCCAGCCAGGCCCCCACCTGGCTGATGAGGGCAGTAGGTAGTACTGTCCTCAGATGGTACAATGAGTTAACGCATGGAAGGCACTTAGAGCACAGGCGTGCAGTCAGCAGTGAGTAAATGTTGGGTATTATCTTTGTTCCACTCAGTAGTAATCCCTAGTGGTCATTACTGATCTTTACTGGGAGACTTTTAACCTCAACTTCAGTCATGTCCAGTGAAATACAAAGGAGTTCAGGTATTTACAAATGAATCACGGTACTTGATCAGACCCTGTGCTTCCATCAACTCCCCACATTGGGGGATAGGACTTCATGTACATTTTTTGGGGGGGGGGATACAATTTTGATTATGACACCTTCCTTTAAAATTCACAACGTATTACACGCATATTTCCATGTCAATAAATATATCATTCTTAATGGCTGCATGTGATTATATAAATGTAACTTCTAATCTAAATATCATTTTAATCAAAATGTAGGACATTTTGACATTTCTATTATTAAAATTTTTCTGCTAAAAGTATTTGTATGTGTGTGAGTGTATGTATATGTATGTTCAAGACAAAATTTTTAAAGTGGGACTGTTGTGAAAAAGTATTTATTTACCACCCTGCCAAATTTTTATATAGAAAACTTAAACCTATAGAAAAGTTGAAAGAATAATAGTACATTAAATGCCCACGTACCTTTCATCTCATACCCTTTTTAAAAGAGTCACTGTTTTAAAAAACTGTGCCCCATTTGTTTGTTGTGTCTTCGTTTGTAGACGCATTTCTTACTGAGTCATTGTAGAGCACCTTGCAGACATCATGACTGTACCGCCCAAAACCTGGAAGCTGAAAACTTGGGTGGCGGCCTGTGAGCCTGCTGGCTGGCTGGTCGGCCGGGGACACGGCGTGTGCTCTGTGATGGGAACTTTCGGTTTTGTTCTTTGAACCTTTGGTTTTTATTGCACCCGTTCACCAAACTGCTTCACTTTTTTCCTAGTGACGCCAATGGGACCGGGTAGCAGTCGGCCTCAGGAAATAGAAATTGGAGAATCTGGCTTTGCTCTACTCTTCCCTCAGATTGAGGGAATAAAAATACAACCCTTTCATTTCATTAAGGATCCAAAGAACTTAACACTAGAAAGACGCCGCCTCACCGAAGCAGGTAAGTTACTGTTCTTTACTGTAATTCCCACCCTGTTGATTGATTGCACGGAACTGGAGCTGTGGGTTGTTCAGACAAGCAGTGAAAGGCGGGTGCAGTGCAGTTCGGGTTTGAGAAAAGGTGTAGGTGAAGGCAGACTGTCGAGCAAGGGTTTACGAGGACCTGTCACTCAGGGAGCGTGGCTGAAGCAGGCAGGTCATGGGGTTCGTTTGGAAGAGTGAAAGGACTGGCTTGGGGTGTAAGCTCTGATGGCAAAGCTTCACTTCACACAGTAGCAGCGAACTGGTTACTCTGGTGAGAAAGGCCGTGTTATGGCCTCTCGTCCGTATCTGCAAATGAAATGGTTGCCGTTAAATCATTAAAAATCACTGTTGGCATAAAAAATCCTCGGTAGTTACCCCCTCATCTATGTACAGGTCAGCTCGCCTGCAGAGATAAGACCCCGTTGTTTGAAATGACTATGAATTCAGCAAGAATCAAAAACTGTGGCCGCAAAGGGAGCATTTGTGAATGGCCAGCATTTCCCGAGGCCTAAGCCAGGCACCGCACCACAGGCTGCTTCTAGTCTTCACAACAGCTTTGCTGGGGGAATTGATTGGGCTGTGTTGTTGATGAGGACTCAGAGTCAGCGGGAGTGGGCAGTGAAGTATCTTAGAGCATGCACTGGTAGCCGTGTTGCGCAAGCCGCCCCCACAGCCACGGGGGCAAACTCCTCTCAGGAAAACCTCCACGTGAGCCAGAGTTATGTGTAGAGGCAACTAGGGTTTCAGGATCAAGTGTGGCTGGGTAGCCGAGCCAGGGTGACTTTGTCGTGTCCTCGTGAGACTTGATGTTGGGAGACTAGCTGGGTGGAGCCGACAATGTTCAGCTCCATCTGCCTTTAGAATCGGTCACGTGGTTAGAAAGTCATTGGTCTGAAGTTGAGGCCACAGATGCGGTTGGAGCCGTCGGCCCGCTGCCTGGCGTCTGTCTGTGTCGGCTGCTGCCGAAGGCTGGGTAAACCCATGCAGGGCAGCGCAGTACAGATTATGGAAAGGATTTCGGCAGCAAAGTCAGCACAGCAAACGAAGAAGAGAGGCAGGTTGATGCTGACAGGAGAATGGCTGCGTTCAGTGGGCTCATGATACAGAAATTCTCGATTAATTTTGCTTAGTGATCTCCCATCAAGATCCGTAATTATAACTTCCAGGACCCTCTTCCAAATCAGGTCCCAGTCCAGGTACTCGATGAGGATTTGTTTTGGGGGAACCACCATTCAGACCACTCCAGATTAGTGCCTTTTTTTTTCCATTTCCGTGGGTCTCAGGCTGCCGCTGCTGCTCACTCTGTTCTGTGTGAAGCAGGGTCGCTTTTGTCCCAGGCGGGGCCTGGGAGGACGTGGCCTGCCCCCTGGGTGCCGCTCGGTGACTGGCTGCTTCCTTATGTGTGTAGGGTGTTGACTCTGCTATTTTCAAACAGCCATTTAGTTTTTTTCAATGGGGAAAAACTGGAGCAAAGATTTTGACTTGCATTCAGGTTTGTAGAAAATGGGAAATTCGACAGCTTAAGCACCAAGTTGCATGTAACTGGAAGTGCAGGTTTTAACAGTAACATTTTACTTTCAAAATGTGGAAGGTAAAGTTTTAATCCGGTAAATTTGAAGTTCCTGTTTTGAGGCCGTGTCTCCTTGCTATTCCTCCTTGCCCTGCAGGCCTCCTCGAAAACCCTGAGCTCCGAGTGGTCCTGGTGTTCGGCTACAACTGCTGCAGGGTGGGCGCCAGCGACTACCTGCAGCGAGTCATCGGCACTTTCAGTGACATGAACGTCATCGTGGCTGGCGGCCAGGTGGACAACCTGGCCTCGCTGACCTCCGAAAAGTATGTCCGTGCTCGGAGGGGCGCATCCTCAGGGTTTCGTCACCGTGGTTCTTTTTAAAAATAACTTTGCAGACTTGTTAACCAAGCCGTTTGCTCCAAGTTGGGGTGGGGCCAGTCCTGGAGGGGCTCCCTCACCGCAGTTGCTCACAGCTGGAGGACGAAATGCACATGCGTCGTCCCTGAAGAACTTCCTCTCGGTGGGACTCGTGCGCTCTCAGAAGTGATGTTTAGCCTTGTCTACAAAGGTCCCGCTCTGCCTCCGTGTGACCTGCGTGTCACTTCCTCTCCAGTTCTGTCAAAGAGCAGATCTCAGGGTCAAGCTTCTCAGAGCCTCTGATGTGCTTAGTGCTTCTGGAATCTTGTAGAGGGGGAGGAACGTTACCCGTGGCCATCCTCCAATCTGGCCGTAAAACCGTTGTTTACATGGAGCCTCTGCAGGCCCACCTGGGCCACTGGGCACAGGCGTTTGGAATTCTGTACTAGATCTTTTGAACGGCTTTGTCACACACAACAATTGTGTATTTAAGGCTCTGCTTTCAAAGATAAAAAAAAAATTGCTCTTTTGTCACTGTTCCTTTCCCATTTTGAATGAACGTATGTAGTGTTTTCAGGTTGAGGTACTTAAGTGAACAGAAATATCAACTGTCTCCAAAAGCAAGGAGGTGACACTCCTACCCCCAGACGTGCCCTGCAAACCCCCGAGCCTGGTTCTCACTGTCTGTGTTAGTGTTTCGCCCCTAGAGTAGCGACGTGGAGCATGGTTGGGGCTCAGCCTCTCTCGGGGCTGTGTCAGTCACCCCAGGTGTGATGTCGCACCCAGCCCGCCCTTGGCCTCCACTTGGGTTAGAGAAAGCAAATAGCTAAGTCGGGTCCCTGGACTGTCGTCAGGGAGGAAGGAAGGGAGGCCAACTGCACTGAGCTCCAAGCACTACTCTGCCTCGTGCACCTGCCGTGGGGAGTGTCCCTCACAGGACATGTCGGTGTGGTCTTCATCCTGGGTCAGTGTACACGAGAAGCTGTTTGCATAAGTCAGTGCAGTGTCCTAAGGGTGTTTAGATATGCTCCTGCTCCCACCCCCCAAAAAAGGTAGTTCAGTGACTTCAAGGCAAGAGATTCACGGCACACAGGCAGTCGTGCGCCGGAGAGGAACTGTGGCGACGTCAGAGGAGCCACAGGAGCCTCGGGAAGGTGGCTTCTGCCCCTGAGAACTGGCTTTGCCACTAGCCCGGCTTTACTGAAATAGTCATTTAAGCTTTTTCAGTCGTAGTTTCTTGTCAGTCCAGTGACTCTTGCTCAATTCATAACCTCTGATGTTGGTAAACATGACAAAAGTGTAAGGTCCATGTTTTCCCCCCGTGGGTGTTCACTGTATTATGCTTTGTCATCGTAGTGAGACTGCTTTTATTTTTTTTAAATTAAGAATGACATATTTCATTGAAAAGTATCAGGCAAATACAAACAAAAAAAGGAAGTATGTTTTAACCTTCAGATTAAGCTGAATTTTAGGCTGAAAACAATAAACAAGACCCAGCAATGTAATTGTATTTCTTTATGGACCCAACAACATAAAGCTAGAAATATCCTCCATGATTGAATAGCTGAGGTGGGAGAAAGCATCAAAGATGTAAATAACCCCACCAGGCTTCATGTGCTAGACACCACGGTGTATGCCGGTGAAGTTGTAACGTGACTTTTAAGGAAGTGAGCAAGGTAGGAAGGAGACGCCTCTGAACACTCAGGACTGGTTTCGGAAATCTCCATGGAGTTGCATTTACCCCTTCATATCTGTGACTGAAAGACTAGGGCTTTACTTGCCCACGAAGGTGCGGTCTGCATCCCTTTAGTGTGTTCATTTCAGTGGTGTCACGTCCACCCCTCGTCCCACTCGGACTGGAACGTGAGCCACAGACCCAGTGAGGGCCACTGAAGGCAGCAGCTCCCAACCAGTGAATCAGGGGGGTTTTTCTTTTCTTTTTTTTTTTTTTTTTAAAGATTTTATTTATTTATCTTTAGAGGGGAAGGGAAGGAGAGAAAGGGAGAGAAACATCAATGTATGGTTGCCTTTTGTGCATCCCCTGCTGGGAATTGGCCTGCAGGGAACTGGCTTGCAACCCAGGTATGTGCCCTGACTGGGAATCGAACCGCGATTGTCTGGTTCGCAGGCCCGCGCTCAATCCACTGAGCTACACCAGCCAGGTTAGGGGGGGTTTTCTTTTGTTTTACACGTTAAAATTTTAATTTTGTTTTTTTTGCTTCATGATAAATTGGCGCTCTTCTACTTGACTGTTCCAGGCACCCTCTCAACATCGATGCCACCGGGGTGGTCGGGCTGTCGTTTAGCGGCCCGCGGATCCAGAGTGCCACCGTGCTCCTCAACGAGGATGTCAGCGACGAGAAGACAGCCGAGGCGGCCATGCAGCGCCTCAAAGCAGCCGGCATCCCTGAGCGCAACACCGTCGGCTTCATGTTCGCGTGCGTGGGCAGGGGCTTTCAGTACTACAGGGCCAAGGGGAACGTGGAGGCCGACGCGTTCAGAAAGTTCTTCCCCGGGGTTCCTTTGTTTGGCTTCTTTGGAAACGGAGAAATTGGATGTGATCGCATAGTCACCGGGAACTTTGTCTTGAAGAAGTGTAACGAGGTAAAGGACGATGACTTGTTTCATAGCTACACAACAGTAATGGCGCTGATTCATCTCGGGTCGCCGAAATAAAGCCGCCCCGGAAGGGGCTTTCATAGCACACGACCTTGGGGTTCTGCCTTTCCAGGAAATGGAGACTTGGGATGTATGTATTTCAAACAAAAATAGCTTTACATGTATTTGTTTTGTAGCTTTGATGCTCTAAAGATTTCTTTGGGGTAGTTTTAATATAATGGAAGGACAACCATGTGTGTGTGACTTCATGCAGAATGAGGGCTGGGAGCTTTTGCACGAGGCACAAGCAAACCGATCATGGCTATCGCACCAGGTTCTGCAGCTGCTGTGTGCGTGATTTTAACCTGCCTTCCGAAGAGGAGGGTGAACGGACGGTTCATAGAAGGATGGCGACTGCAGGCATTCCGTGACTACCTCAGCATTGTTAGGTAATCTTTTAGCAGAATCATGAAGAAATTCTCCTCCCTTAATAAAGGAGGAAAATATTCAGATGGCTTGAGAAATCTTTCTCCGCTTTACAATGTTACCAATTTTTTCAGAAACTGTAATGAAATTATTACTGACTTTTTACTTCTTTGATAAATATGGAAGACCTATTTTTGTTGGGGTTCTCTACAGTTGCTTAGTGAAATAAATTGCCAAGATTAATAAGCAGTATTTTATTCTTCTATAAGGAAAACCATTTTCCTTTTCCCTGCGACCATGTTACAAGACAGGAATGAACACTGGTGTGGCCTAAGCCACTTTCCCCTGGGCTTTCGTCGCAGGACGACTGGTGCCAGCATTTGCTCCCCGACCTGGTGCGATGCAGCTGCTGTGCGACACCTCTGGTGTAGTTCTCAGTGGCTTTCACAGGAAGGTAGAAAATTTGTAAGGTAAGTGACATCAAATGTGTCGACATTCCTGCTTTTCTGTTCTTAAGCACTCCCTATTTTTGCCTCGAAAGATTTTTCTCTTCCTGTTTATGCACATGATAAAGATACTTCAAAGTTTCTTTTGTCTTATAGTTCCCCTCGATCTTAGTTCCTGAAGAAACTCCAAAAACAGTCCAATGGTAACAGAACGTTTAATCTGTGCACAGTAGTATGCAGCCATTTTTATGTAGCTATTAACTTTTTATTATGTAACACTGGTACCTGCTGCCAAGTAGACGATGCCTCAGAATTTGAGTCCTTGGCTGTGCTTACATAGCACAGAAAGAAAACACTTTGTAAATTATTTTGGTTCTGATGTTAACCAAAGTTGGTTAAATTGTAGAGGAAAAACGAATTTTAAAAATGAAAATAAAGAAAAAATATGAGCCAGGGGATGGAGTGGATTACAATGTTTTGTCACTGACATGAAAAGCTCTGCAGGTTCCTAACATTTGATGTTAGCAGAGGGCTCCTGTTTTATAGTTGCGCCTTGGGGGCTTGTTAGGAATAGCAAATTCATTACGCCATCAGGCTGTGACCTTGGCGTATGGAATAGGAGGAGAACTTGACCCAGCAGAAATCAGAGCAGTACAGGAAGTCCTCCCTTAACGGTGTCAATAGGTTCTTAGAACCACGGTGAAATGACAAGTAATGAACCCAGTTTCACCACAGGCTACTTGATATAAACAGAGTTGAGCTCTTACGGCAGCTCATCGGGTTGTAACAGGATGACAGCAAATGCTACAGTGTTGCTTGAAGGCCTGTGTCCCTGCTGAGAACAAAGGTCGCCCAGAAAGGGGAGTCATAATTTAACCAAAGTTACAATGAAATAATCTATTACAATTTTGGAAGGCTTGTTTTAAATAAAAGCGATCATTAAAGGAATAGTTACTGTTTCAGCTAGAAACACAAGTACATTTCTAGAAGTGGCAACTGGTGTAGCCATTTGTAAAAATGGTCACAAGAAAAAATTGACAAGAGCACAAAATGAGAAGATGCACCTTTGGTGTCTTCACACACTGAGTGGCTGCCGCCTGGGTGGTCAGGTTGACAGGATGGCTTGTTTAATCAAGACTCTGGATGGAGCGTTGTTCTTGATTAGTGTGTTCATTTCAGTAGGGTCATGTCCATCCCTTGTCCCACTCGGACTGGAAGGTGGGCCGCAAACTGCTGAGTGAGGGCCGCTAAAGGCAGCAGCTCCCAGCCAGTGAATCAGGAGGATTTTTCTTTTGTTTTACCCGCTAGCTTGTGGGCTCCATTCCCAGTCAGGGCATGGATGATCCCTGGTCCAGGCACATAAAAGAAGCAGTCCATGTTTCTCTCTCTTCCTTCCTCTCTAAGAGCAATGATAAAAAATGTCCTCAGGTGAGGATAAAAAAATACATAAATGTATATACATTAATTTCCTTGATACTCTTTCAAAGCAAAACCTTTCTGCAGCTGCAGTTTGTTTATAAAAGGAATCTATTTCCATTCCCTTGATCCAAAAAGAACGAAACTCCTTGTGAGTGAGCAGCAATCCAAGGAAGTGAAGGAAAGGCAGGCTTTGAGAGTCAAACGCAGAAGTGGACACTGCACAGTGATATAACAACTCATCACCGTCTGTGGGCCACTGTAATGCAGAGGGTCCGGCAGGCTGGGTCACCACTGTAGTCCCCTCAACTAGCAAACGCACCAACTTCTCAGCCTAATAAGAGAGGCCAGATAGCAAGTTTTATCATTTATTAATATTGCAAACAACACAATGAACATGTGAAGAATGTAAAATAAATGTTTATGGAAAAGTTTTTGACAAAACTTTTATCACTTTATGCGCACTCTGCAGATTACATTGGCAGCACCATAAGTTACATTTTAATGGACACAAGACTGTAAATTAGGGAAGTGCAACCATGCGGCCCAACACAAGATCCTAAATTCTCGTAAAACATTAGATGTTTTTGTAATTATGTATCACAGTGTATTTAATATGTGGCCCAAGACAACTCTTCTTCCTGTGTGGTCCAGAGACACCAGAAGGTTGGACACCCCTGCTGTGAATCCTCTTGATTGGAACTTTGTAGATGAAATTTTGAGATGAGCAACTTGATTTCATTTGTAGAGACTGGGTGTGGGTCTGCTTAATAAAACCCCCCCAAAACCCCAACAGAACAAGCGTCAGTGGTTACATCCTTGTTTAATGAATGAAACTAATACCTATGTAAAGAATGTGTTCCCTGAGTTGTTCTTCATGCAGGCATTTGCAAGGCATGTTATTTTTGTCTTATGTTTATCCATTTTGCCCTACAGTACACCTGAGACAGGTGACAGGAATGAATATACGCTACTAGAAAATAGAAAATGTTGGCAGGAGCCAATAAAACTCATTTAAGATTTTGGTTCCAAGAGTGTACGGAGCGTTTCCATTTCATAAACAGGTTGTATAAAAAGTTATTGTTCTCTATTGACTCATCGCAGCCTGCAAACAAGGCAGGATTCATAATGACAGGAAACTGGAGGGAAATCTGTTCATTGATTTTAAGTGCAGATGATCAGAATGAGAATTTTCAGACCATTTTCTTAACATTTACACAGTTTCCCAGTCTGACTAACCAAAATTCAGTCACTACACGTGTGTCTGAAACACTCTCTCTGAGGCCCTGTCGTGATGTGAGAAAGACAGACGCTTTAGTGACACCAGCAAAACGGCGGACTGGGACACTCCAGAACACAGACCCAAGTGGGCCACGGTGGGAACCAACTCTGCAGAGCTCAGGAAAAGAGGTTTACTGCACCCCAGAGAGGGCCCAGTGAAGAAAAACTACTTTCAAGAGCATGAGAAAGTTTTGTGACTTTTCACTCACCCTTCCCCCAGTGCAGCGGTGATCTTATTCTTAAAAGTGGCAGATGCCTGATTCCCAGTTTCCTCTCAAACCAGAGGAGGCAGAATAGACTTCATTCGCAAATGAGTGTGTCTGTCTTTCCTAATCTAGGGGATAGCTGAAGGACTGACCTAAGTGCTCATCTTTGTCTTGCATACCTTGGAGAAAGGGGTGGGCACTGCTTATAAAAGCTGCAAGGTGACTACAAACTCACGGACCTGGGGCAAGAGGTTATGGGTGGAGACATAAAATATGAAGCTCAGAGGGAGACGCTGGGGTGAGACAGGTTGGTCCAGGTGAGAGGCAGCTCGTCTGCCAGGCTGACTTATTGGACTGCCTTGGCCCTCTGGAGGTGGCCCTTCCTGACAGTAAAAAGGACAGAAATCGGGTAAGTGCAAAAGTGGAGTGAAAAGTTCAACTTGACTATTTGGAGGTTCATTTTCTCCTCCACAACCACCTGGCATGGCCAGGGCTGCCCTACAAGGCGGCCCATCAATTAACCAATCTGCCGGGCGGACAGGGCACCTCTGGGGACTTCATGCGCTTGTGGTGCCACTTAGTCTTCTCTTTGAAGGCAGCAGAGATGCTGTAATTTGGTGTAATGTGTTCGTGCTGTTGCTAAAGAGATCAGGTTTCATTACTTGGAACCCTTATGTGACTTGGGTCGCTTTTTGGTCAACTGTTCTTTGCACGCCAGGATTCCACGTTCACAAGTCTCTGTGACCACCTAGTGTGTGTTCGATGATTAGTGGTCAGAGTTATGGTTCCAGGCAATTCGTAAGCCTCATAAATTCTACACTCACAGAATTTCAGAAAAGAAAAATTGAAGACCAAAACTAATGAATGCAAGTAGTCTTCGGTGTGCAGCATTATTTCACGTGACTCATTTTTACTTTTGTCTAGTGAGTTACCAGTCTCCTCGTAGTAATGGCCCACTTATTTGTCTGTGCAAACTGATTTAAATCCCTATGGAGCCAGGGCACATGCGTGTCTTGTTTACTGTTCCTTACAGTCAGCACAACTCCTGGCACGCGGTAGACAGTCAATAGTTGACCCTAGATACTAATCACATGTTACATTTTATTTACAGTGTTGGATAAGTCATTGCTTTTCTTTCATATTCCAAATTTACTTTGCACAGACCTACCCCCAATATTTAGGTGTTTGTGGCATAATTGCTGTAGTGGGTGTGTGGCTACTAGTTTAGAGGAGTCAGGCCAAATAACAACAGTCACAACAGGCAGAGACAGCTTGAAATCCTTTCAAAAGTGACTTACGGATTTCACAACCATTAGCGAGAGAACCCTAAACCAAAAACACTGTCCGGGAGAGTATTCTGAAGTAAAGGGCATATAATAATTTAGTTGAACAACTACTTGATGCGTTACTCTTTCCTCTTCAGAAGCATGTTTCTCCGTTGCTCACCTGCAGAGGCAGTAGGGGCTCCAGCGGTAAGTTCCTGGAAGAACCGCCAGAGCCACAGAAGCTGCAAGCAGGCCGGGTTTCTTTTGGGTGCTAGCGCTTGGGAGGAAAACCTCTTTACAGTGAGCTCCTGTGTAATTGTCCATGCATCTGTAGAAGGAAATTTGGGATAAAGAACCGCATTCTGTGTCCCATTAACTAATACAGAAAGCAGACAGTTTCTTACTGGTATCAAGAAAAAGTACTAATTTTCAGATTGCGAACCCAGGCAAGTTCCCTGATGCTCACAGAGCTCCAGTCACAGTAAAACAAAGGAGCAGGTGCGGTCTAATTCTTGCCATTTTTTCAAGTTTTCTCCTTGCTTCAAAAATCCATAGAAAATTATAGACTATTCCTTTGACGTTCCAGGTGTACAGTGATGTAAATATCCACACTTAAATTTTTCTGATATTTATTTTGTGAAGTCTGATGGATGTGGTTCTAAATGTACTTTTTTCTGCATATTGCTAAGTGGTTATTCCAGCCCTGGTTATTAAATAATCATTCATTTTCCTACTGCTTAATGTATTAAATTTCAGCATTTCTCTTTCATCTAGAATTTTAAAAACTTTTTATTCGCCACTGAAATATTGCTGCCACCATTAGAAAGACTTAATTCTTCATTTTCCTTTCAAAATATCAAATGTAAATTTTGGTGCCAGCATGGTTATGTATTTACTAGTCTAAACTCAAAGCAAATGACCATACATTGTGCTTTTTTTTTTTTTGCAATAGTAAATTCTCTAGCTGTTTTGCTAGTAAGATTAAACACTTAGAGTGTCTTGGGTAAATTGCTAAAATCATAGAGTTCACTACAATGAATTATTTAAATTCTGACTAGGCTTGAAACTACCATACCCATTTTCCAAATAAACACTTTGAGTGAGATTGTGATTGGCCCCTGTTTTAAGAGCTTAATTTTGTTCTATAGAAGTATGAAGCGTTTTCTCACACTTTTTCATCTCATACTTTTTTGTCCAATATTTATCAGATGAGAAAAAATGAAATCTCCATGTCCCACCAGTCCCTTTCACTCATCTGAAAAGCGGGCTGGCACCAGAGGCGCCGCGTAGCAGATCCTCCCATTCAGGCTGAAGGACCTGTGAGCGGGGCCGTGGGACTCTTCCAGACCTGAAACTCAGATGCAGGGGAAGCACGGACGGACAGGTTAAAGTTCTAATAAAGCAAGGAAGAGGAGCAGTGTCTTAGACTGAAGCAGCAATTCTAAAAATTAGAATGGTTTCTTAAAATGAGAGGCTTAATCTTATCAAATAAGGAGGAAGTATGAACTTCTATTTTTTTGAGGGAAAAATTGATGGGTCCTGAGAATATGGCCATGATTATAATGGATTTAAAAGCTGTATTTCAGAAATGGTAGATCTATCAGATTGAAACCAGGCAATTAGGACTTTAAAATTACCAGTGGCCTTTCTCATTTAACAGAGACCCTGCAGTGTGGCCAAGAGCACCTCTGTCCTGAGGGTGTATTTACATTCTTTTTTCTTAGGCCTCAGATATATTACAGTCTGAAATTATACTTGCAAAAAGACTTAGACAATTGAAATGAATTCTGACTTCTAAAATTATTTTTGAATTTGCCTATATTTCACAATTTTAACCAAAAAAATAAATAAACCTGAATTGTTTTGACTTGCAGGGGGGTTTTAGGTGGCAGCTGGTAACTGAAGACATGTCTGAAGTGCTAACGTCAAATTAAAACCCAAGTTATTGCTTGATATGCAGCTGAAACTTTAAGAATATTAAAATGAACCTGTATTGCTCGCTGCTTTTCTCTGCCCCTCTATCTCCAGCCCGCTTCCTTCTTTATCTTCGACCCTTCCCTTCTCTTCCTTTGTCTCTTCCTCTCCTGTCATCCTTGGGACTCCTCCTGCCTTACTACCTCCATCTGCCAGCACCTTTTTTTTTTTTTAAACCCCTATTCTTTCTTCCTGGTCACCAAAATCATTACAGAGAAAATTTAGAAGCAGCCACTGTAGAATTCATTGAGTCATTGTACTGCTGTTTATGATTAGAAGAGCAAGTGGCTGAATACTTTATTTTTTGTCCTCGAAGCGGGGATTGCACTGCTTTAAAATTGCACATCATTGGTTCCTGTGTCTGCCTAGATGATGACCTATAGTCTCATGAAAGAATATAGCATTACTCCAATTTGGCACTTCAAAACAGCATACTAATTTTAAAAAATTATAATTTCTTTGCCACTAAGATATCAAAAAGTTATTAAGATATAATCATTATTGAGCCAGATGTCTCTACCATAAGAATTTGAAATTTTAAAACTTTCCTTCTACCTAAAGTAGATACCATCAGATTATAACTTGAAGTATAAAACTGTGAAGAGAAAAACAGAACCACAGAGAATTTAAGTGGAAAAAAAGAAACCATAAATATACATAATTCTTTTATATATAAAAGAACATACAAAAATTCTTTTATATATTTTCTGTTTCACAGAAAGCTATCATGCTTCTTTACAATCAAACAACTTGTCATAAAACAGTGCTTACAGTTTTTCAGGAATAATCTGGCCAAAAAGTAAAATCCCAATTAATGTTACATGGAACCCCAAGAGTTGTTAGGAGCTTCCATCGAGACTGGAGTGTAATTTCCTGTAGCTGAAATTATCTTCCTTGATTTTAACCGGATTATAATCAGTCTCATGTCTCAACACTTGGTATATTATCAACACCCTGAATCATTGCCTCTGAATCTATTTTTATTCTGGTTTCATTTACTTATTTGAAAAGTTGATACCAGCTAGACTGTGTTAGTTTTTAAAAAGCAATAAAATATATGTCTAAAATAAAATTCATGTTATAAAGTATTTTAACTTTTTAAAATATATTTTATTGATTATGCTATTACAGTTGTCCCATTCCCCTCCACCCTGCGCACCCTCTCCTACCCACATTCCCCCCTTTCGTTCATGTCTATGTGTCGTAAGTTTTTAGCTCGTACGTTTCCCATACTATTCTTGCCCTCCGCCCGTCTATTTTCTACCTACAATCTATGCTACTTATTCTCTGTACCTTTTCCCCCTGTCTCCTCCTCCCACTCCCCTCTTGCTACCCCTCGATGTGATCTCCGTTTTTGTAGTTCTGTTCCTGTTCTAGTTGTTTGCTTAGTTTGGTTTTTGTTTTTGTTTTAGGTGTGGTTGTTAATAACTGTGAGTTTGCTGTCATTTTACTGTTCATATTTTTGTCTTCTTTTTCTTAGATAATTCCCTTTAACATTTCATATAGGAAGAGCTTGGTGATGATGAACTCCTTTAACTTGACCTTATCTGAGAAGTGCTTTATCTGCCCTTCCATTCTAAATGAAAGCTTTGCTAGATAGAGTCATCTTAGATGTAGGTCCTTGCCTTTCATGACTTGGAATACTTCTTTCCAGCCCCTTCTTGCCTGCAAGGTCTCTTTTGAGAAATCAGCTGACAGTCTGATGGGAACTCCTTTGTAGGTAACTCTCTCCTTATCTCTTGTTGCATCTAGGATTCTCTCCTTCATTTTAATCTTGGCTAATGTAATGATGATGTGCCTTGGTGTGTTCCTCCTTGGGTCCAACTTCTTTGGGACTCTCTGAGCTTCCTGGACTTCTTGGATGGCTATTTCCTTTGCCAGATTGGGGAAGTTTTCCTTTATTACTTATTCAAATAAGTTTTCCACTTGTTGCTCTTCCTCTTCCCCTTCTAGTACCCTTATAATTTGGATGTTGGAGCATTTAAAGATGTCCTGGAGGTTCCTAAGCCTCTCTTCATTTTTTAGAATTCTTGTTTCTTCATTCTTTTCTGTTTGGTCATTTTTTTTCTTCCTTCTGGTCTACTCCCTTGATTTGAGTCCCAGTTTCCTTTCCATCACTATTGGTTTCCTGTGCATTTCCCTTCATTTCAATTAGTTTAGCCTGCATTTGTTCCTCTAATTTGTGATTAAAATCAGCCAGTTCTGTGAGCATCCTGATCACCAGTGTTTTGAACTGTGCATCTGATAGGTTGGCTGTATCTTCGTTACTTGTATTTGTTCTGGAGCTTTGATCTGATCTTCCATTTGGGCCATTTTTTTTTCTTGCCTGTTATGAGGGGCAAAGCCTTAGGTGTTCACCAGGGCAGGGCAACCCAGTCACTGGGTTGTGTGACACTGTATGTGGGGGCGGAGTCAGAGAGGGAACAATGGCATTTGCTCTGCTTTCTGTCAGATTACAGTCCCTTCTGCAACTTCCCCCAAACAAACTGGGCCTTTCTGGTGCTGATTCCTGTGTGGATGGGCTTGTGTACATTCTAGGACCCTGTGGGTCTCTCCAATGAACTCTCCTGTAAGGCTGGGGGTCTTTCCCGGCAGCTCAATTCCCACAGGTGTTTTCAATCGGTATTTTGAGGCTTTATTTCCTCGCGCTGTCTGTCTCATTCCCCAGTTTCACCTGATTTATCTTCAGGCCAATGTGTGATCGCCTGGTCAGCCAGCCGCCTTGTGCACTGTGCCCTGCTTCACAATCACCACCTCGCTGGGTCTGCCCATTGCCACCCCACGCCTAGGGTCTGCCAGCCACCGCCTATGTGCCCAGGGTCCTCCTACTGCGGTCTTGCATGCCCAGGGTTTGTGAGCTGCTGCCTTGCGTGCCCGGTGCCACCACTTTTTTTTGCCATGACCCCTGTCCACCTGGCTGCCTGACTCCACCCCTCCTACTGGTCTGGATGGATATGTCTATTTTAACTCCTTGGTTGTTGGACTTCCATACAGTTCAATTTTCTGTCAGTTTTGGTTGTTATTTTGTTTCTAAATTGTTGTTGTCCTTATTTTTGGTTGTGCGAGGAGGCACAGTGTATCTACACCTCCATCTTGGCCGGAAGTTGTATTTTACTTTTAAAATAAAAAATATATCAGATCTTTAAAACAATTATAGATAGGGAAATATAGCTGTGTTAATAGAAAATTATTTTTTCTATTACTATGTGACACACTGACAAAAATATAAGCTTACAAAAAATTACCTGTTGCATATTAACTTATAAATAGTTGTATTCTTGGCCAAAAGTTTAGGTTTTGAAAAACAGCACCTAAAATGAATAATTTAGGGAAATTACCTTCTTTTGAAGGCATTATAGAATGTCAAATATTCTAATAGCAGTATTGTTTTAAATGATGAAACTAAGACATATGGTAGTGACATATTTATTTGCTTAGAGTATTTTTTAAAATACTTATTACATATCAATAAATTTTAACAAATAAAAGATCAACATTAAACAGTACAAATACACTAAATAGAAATCATTGCCCAAACAATGTAACATAACCTTAAATCTCTGGAGAATACTCTAAGTTGTACCTTTAATAAATATTGTTAATATAATAGTATAATGTGTGAAATTATACATGAAAGCTATGTCAGTAAGTGAATTTGAATGACCTGAATTGACTTTATTTTTTTCATAAAGCCTATTTCCAATCTGATTTTTAAATAGAATCAATAATTTACAGCTTTTCAGGTTATTGAAAATGGCAAAAAACATGCTATAGAAAAAAATCTTTCATACTACTCAAAAGGTTAGCATTCCTATAGAGCCTTTAAAACTCTTTCAAAAGTACCAGTACTTTAAAGTTTACTGTAGATTGTGCATTACATTTACTAATCTTCGCTTCAAAAATGTCTGGCATCTGGTAAAGCAAAGTAGCCAGTAAGGTATGCTTATGTGCGAAGGGACCGGCTATAACAGAAGCAAAGAAATTAAACATATTTAAAGAAGGATCTGTACTTACATTATGATTACAAACTCTTAATTTCTTTATAAAGGGAACTTAACTCCTGAGTGAAGCAGAAAGACTAATGGAAACATCAACTTCCTATTAACACAGGTGTAATATCAAGGCCTCCTCCCAAAGGCAATCGCTTATGCAGACAAGTAAGGTGGGAGAGGGGGGCCGAGAGAGGAGGTGGGGGAGAGAGAATAATGAATCAATCACTGGCTCCTTGTATGACTTTTTTTCCCAAAGAAACAGGTCATACCTCAATGAAAACTTACATTTATACAAACAACTTTTTTGGGGGGAGACAGGCATCATTTCAAAGGTTTTGAATACTGTCTTGCCTTTTACAACAGGACAAAAAATCTGATTTATTGGGCTGCAGTGTGCAGTGTGGGCGAGGCTGAAATGAAGACCGAGGTGTGCAAAGAGGTCAGGGCCAGCCAAGAGACCTGCTCCGTTCAGTCCACATGTTCAGAATTGCAAATAGAGCAGAGTTTTATCTAGAAAAGAGAGTGTACTAAGATGCCCTTTCACGTTACTATCCAATTTTAAAACTTATGAAATAGATCGCATTTTTAGACTCTATTTCCTTTTGCATGTCTGACTAATTCAAGAGTGTTGTGTAACTTTGTGGAAAAAATAAATGTTAACATGGAGCTAATAGACAAGTGTTCCACAGGGTTTCTTAAAAAAGGACTTTTCTGACAAACCACATAGCATTTATGTAAATAATGATTTGAAGAACTTATAAAACTAAAAGAAGGTAATAGTTACAGTAGAACACCAAGTTGAATTTGGAAGATTTTGTTTACTTTTAGAGAGGGGAAAGGAGGGAGAAAGGAAAAAAAATATCAATGTGTGAGATATATACATTGATCAACTGCCTGTCACACGCCCCCTACTGGGGACCTGGCCCACAACACAGGCATGTGCCCGGACTGGGAATCGAACCTGAGACTCTTTGGTTTGCAGACCGGCACTCAATCCACTGAGCCACAGCAGCCAAGGCAAAACACAGGTTTTTTAAACTAAAAGAAAATCCGACTTACCTCAAAAAGCACTTTGGTGTGGGATATGCTAATTGCAGACACATCAGAGGCAACTGTATCTGGCAAGAAAATAACACACAAAACTTAAAACCACAATTAATTTCTTCCATTCGTACTTTATAGCTTCTGTGTCCTACAAAATGCCCTCTCATTAGTCACCCATGGCCTGTTCTACTTACACCTCCGGTATTTCTAGCTGGTATTGATACGAATCACCTGGCGCAGTTAAAAATAAATCGGCAGAACACTCTGGATAAGATTTGCATGGCTGGAGGTGAGGCTCCAGAACCTGATTTTCACAGGTGTCTCCAAGTAATTCTTTCAAAATGAGCAAGAGGCCTGCCCCAGATCTTCAGAGTTCCTCTATCAAGGGAGTCCGGCCTGCAGCCCTCGGGCCACATGCGGCCCTGGATAGCTATGAATGCGGCCCAACACGAACTTGTAAATTTACTTAAAACATGAGATTTTGTGTGTGCGTGTGTGTGTGTATGTGATGACGTGTCACAATGTATTTAATGTGTGGCGCAGGGACGCCAAAAGGTTGGACACCCTGGCAACACTGATCTGCCTCAAGGGCTAATCTTCCTCTGGATGTTATTGGTTTTAGGGTATTTGAAAACAAGAGCAGGACTAGTTGGGAAAAAGTAGGGCGGCGTCTGGTCATCTTGGGTTTCCCACACTCTCAAGGAGTGGTCAAAAAGAGGGAAGATTTTAGTTTGGACAAGGGCTGTGAAGTAGGACACCGCCAGGGGGCAGCACTGAGCTGACTTGCAGGGTTGGGGATTTTTTATTTCACCGTTACCACAGAAAAAGGTTGCACCTACATTTCTGAGGAACTCAGATTTTTTAAAAGCACTTAAAATGCATATATAAAAATGTTAGCATGTGATTTCCACACTCTTCTCTGTAGAGCGCCTTGATAGACAGCTATTACAGAAAAAAAGTTCCTTTAGTAGCATTGCCCCTCAATCGAAAAATTGTGTTAAGACTTCAAAGATCCCAGGTGTTCCAAAGTAGCGTTCAAATTCTGTTTGCAAGGTTCAAAACGCTTGTCCCACTCATGTAACTGGCATTGTAACTGGGTGCTTTCAATGGTTTTAATAAAATCTTTAGAGTCCTATTAGATGGGGAAAATGAGTTCGCAGTTTGGGCAAGTGATGCCAAGAGGGTTTTGTTGGTTCCCCCCCCACACTTTTTCGAGTGTAGTTGAAATAATTGCCACCACCTGTCGGAAAACTACCCTCCCACCCCCAACACCATCCAACCCCCCAAGGTTTCTTGGCCCACCCCCCACTTTCTCCAGTTCACATTTTTTCCTTGTAAGAAACATAGAAGAAAATTCCTCTGGCCACCCATTGTAGCTTCTACAAATATCACCATCGAGGGCCTTTTTTCCCCTCTGAAATTCCACCACTAGATTTGGGCAAGAAACACTGCGAGGGAGGGAGGGCGTGAAGAAGGGTTTCTTATTTCCCAGCGGGCCACAGCGAGACACTCCCTACCGAGATATGCCTGTGTCTGAGAAAGTATGGTCCCAGCCTGACTTTCGAAGTCTTTCCACCCCACAATTTCTATCGTCTAGCTAGAAACGCTGAGGTGGGAGGAGAAGGAGGCCCGAATGACAAAGATTCCTGGAAGGCCAAGTGGACCTAACTAAAAACAACAAACACCCCCCCCCCGCGCCCCCAGTAAACAATTGAATCCCTAAACTAATAAAAACCTGCTTTCGAGGACGTATGGGAACGCGACAACTCCAACGCGTTCCAAACTTTTTGAGCATTCTAACAAAAATGTCAGTATCAGGAGCCCATAGGGAAATAGCTTTTTTTCTCTTTTTTTGGCCATGTTTATTTACATTGGGGACTACAAATCACAGAGCTACCACGAGTCCCGAGGCAATCTCGCCACAGCGCTGCGCACGTGCGCGGAGCCCCGGGGCGGGAAGCCCGGCGCGCTCGCCCGAAGACCGTCCTGCGCGTCAGGCGGAGGCACGCACGCCGGGTCTGTGGTCGTGAGCATGGCGTGGGGGCAATTCGTGGACGAAATGTCTAAAAAGGTTCCTTGAGGGCAGTCACGTAAGGAATTGCTGACAGGCACCCCACCCCCGGGCCTCAGAGACCTCAGGACGCCGCGCCGGAGCCACCGGCACCACCCATGTGGCTGGTCCCCCATCCCGGGGCTTCGCACTTGTTGCCGCCTTCCCGCGCCCCTGCGCCGTCCGCCCGGCGGCTCTCGCCCACGCCGCGAAGCCGGCGCTCCCGGGCTCCCCCGGCTGCCCAGTCCCCGCCCCGCTCCGAGGCCGCGGGCTTCTGGACCGCGCCTCAGCTGCGCGGCGGGCGGCGGGCAGTGGGCGGGGGCGCGCGCGGACGCGGGCCGCCGGGGGCGGGGGCGCGCGGGGGCCGCGGGGCCAGCGCGCAGGCGCGACGGCGCAGGCGCGGGCCCGACAGAGCCCGCGGCGCGAGGCGCTGAGGAGAGCCCCGGGCGCGAGCTGGGTGGCCGCCGCTGCAGAGCGGAGCAAGCGGAGTCCGGCGGGAGGTACGTGTCCCCTCAGCCACTGCGCCGGGCCGCCTCCTCACGCGGGGGCCGCCGACTCGGGGGTCATGCCGCTTTCTCACGCGGGGCCGCGGGCCCGGGGGTCGTACCGTCTCCTCACGCGGGGCCGCGGGCTGCTGGGCTGAGGGGCCGGGGGGCCGGGCTGACCGCTGACCTTCATCCGGCGGGCTGGGTGCGTGCGGCCGCCCGGGACTGGGCTCCGGCCGGGGGCCGGCCCGCCGCCCCGCGTCCCTGCTCGTTTCCGCAGCCCTCTGGGCTGGGGCTCGGGTCCGGCCGCGTTGCCTGACGCGCGCCCTCGGCCTCCGCCGGCCGGCTGGCGTGTCCCTGCAGCCCGAGGCTGCGGAGACCCCTGCAGGGCGGGCGGGCGCGCTCCGGCCTCGGCGGGAGGTGGAGGGGAGCGCACCCCGGGGGGCGGCTCTCTCCGTCCCGCTGGCTCCGGACCTGGGTCCCCCCCCCGGGGGGCGGGTGCGCGGACGCCTGGGGCGTGGAGCTGCCACCTGTTGGAGGCCAGCCCCCAGGTGTCGCCGTCCCGCGCCAGGCCCGCGCCGCCCCTCGCGTCCGCCTCAGCGCCGCCGAGCCGGTGCAGCGTCCGGGACGGGCTGAGGGGACACACAGTCCGCAGTCCACACGGGCGGAACCGCACTCGCTCTGGACCGAGTTTCTGCTCGGGGTGCGCGTTCCCTGTTTCCCCGGCTGCTCAACTGGCTTCCAGCCACAGCCCCGCCAGTCAGCTGTGTGTCGTTGGTTCTCTGTGTGTTTCCCCGAAACGCTGTGGTGAGAGGAACGGGAGCCACTGGAGGCACCCACGGAGGACGGTGCCACGAGGCGTGGGGTTGTGGCAGCGGGACGGTGGCCGCTCCCCAAACACAGCCGTAGGCCACTTGTCCCCACGAGGAGCACACAGGGCGTGGCTGCCCGCGTGCGCCACACACTGAGGCGAAAGCCATCTGTACTCCATCTCCCTGAGCCCTCACACGCGACCTGCGACCTTCGCGTGGAAGACGCTGAGCCCCAGAAAGGTTGGCGCACTTGCCCAAGGTCACAGTCAGGGTCAGGGTAGGGAGTCAGGCAGACTCCGGCGCCCGTGAGTGCCCGGGGTGTCGGAGGAGCGTGGGAGGCGCGGTTAACCCCGCTGCCGCCGCGCCCTCTGCACTTCCATTAGCATCGAGCTTATGCATCAGCACGCAGCGTTGGGTTTTCCACTTCATCGGTCCCTCACCAACCTTGGTGGCTTTGCTCTAACTGGGAGAAACTGTCGTTTTACAGTGGGTCCTTGTGGAATTTTTTGAGGTGGCGCAGAGCCTGTAAGAAACGGAGTCCAAGACAGCTTCCATGTAACTCTCCCAAACAAGTTCAAAGAATAGTTTCCCTTCGGATTTAAGTCTATAAAAATGTATACGCATCAGGTAGAACAAATCACACCTGGTTTTCATTAGTGAACCCTACTGCAGTCTTCTTGCCCGCCCTGCACACCTTCGTCTGGTCTCACTGCTACTCACAGGGCACCCGTTGCTGCCATAGGAATCCATATGTCCTATGTCATAATCCATACAGTGCTAAACCCTGGACCCTAAATCCAGTCTCTCTCTATAGTTGCAGCAGTTGTGCATTCGAAACTCTTGGAATTTGTGCTTTTAACTATAGATGTATGCTTAAACTTTTTTTGGCAAATGCATTATTATAATTTATTATTATTATTATTATATGAAATACTTTAGATTTTCATTCATCTGTTTTTCTCTTCTTGGTGGCAGCCGTAGCAAGGGTTTTAATCTTATTTAGAAATTGGTTCACAACCCGCCAGTTAACCCATCTCCTTGCCAAACTGAAAAGAGTTGGAGTTCACCAATGACACCCACTGTAGGTCAAATCTGAGACCCCTAAAGCTCCCCTTTGCTCTGTTTGCACTCAGTTTCCCCATGGAGAGGATGTGGGGGTGTCTAAAGTTAGATTACACCAGGTGCTTTGGGTGCAGAGTGTAAGGGAAGCTGCCCAGTTCTGATGTGGGAGACAGCCAGGAAATCACTTCTGCATGAACAGGAGCCTAGAATGAGATTTCTGCTAGCAAATGTAACATGCACTCAATTGTAGAATGTTCAAATATCACATAAATATAGAAGATAGAACATCAGTAGTTACAATCTGGTAATCTCACTCCCCAGCATGATCCACAGTAATGGTTTAGTGTGGAGTCCTCCAGGTTCTGAATGTGGATACTAAAATATTGCTGTTTGCCAACAATATACATAGTTACACACTGGTTTGCAGTTTCTTGTCTTGCACTTAGTAATGGACCTTGGCCCTCTTGGAGGCCCTTGGATAACATATTTCTAGTTACCTTTTATTCAGCCATAGTGGGAACCTGATGGGGAGAACTGTGTAACCAGGGTGGAAGGAAAAGAACTAGTGTGTGGTGGGTAAGGACTCGGCCTGAGCTATGTCCTGTGATAGGTAGTTCTCACATTCTGTAAGTCCTGTAGCCTTTTGCTGTCACCCTTTGTGGTCAGCTGTTTAAATTTGAGGAAAGGGGAGCTGGAAGGACATGATGTAAGGACAGAGCTGAGATTCAAGTCTGGGTCAGTATAACTCAGACTCTACTCTTTTTCCTTCTAATTGCACAATGACTAGTGCTCCACCCTGTAGTCCTCTGGCCTCCCATCCTACTGCCTCTGACCATCCACACTGGCCTCCTTGCCATTCCCCCTGCCTCAGGGCCTTAGCACTAGTGGTTCCCTTGCCTGGAATGCTCTCCCCACACACAGCTACATGGTTTGCAGCATCACCTCCTTTTGGTTTTGCTTAAATTCTGACCACTACTTTAAAACTACACACCTCCCCACAGACATTCCTATTCCTCCTCCCTGCTTTGCTTTCATTCGTAGCCCCTCCTAGCACACTATATAAGTTAGTTATGTTTATCGTCCACCCACAGCCCAGGAATGAGCACTTCATGGCACAGGGATTTTGTCTGTTGTGTTCCCTCCCTGAACCCTGGTGCTATGGACAAGTCACTGTGGCATCCTTAAATTTTTCCAGCCCCCCCCCCTTTTTGTTTTTGTTAGCCTTACAGGTTCCCTCAATGAGTCAACAAGTCTAAAATGCAAAGGCTCTCTAAGTGTGTTTAGGGGAACAGCAAGGAAAGTGGAGAAGAATCTACAGAGACCTCATCTTGCCGTGAATAGCTTTGGGACATAGTCTCAGAAGGAACACTTACAAATTCCTCATCTCTCTGTGTCCTTTCATTCTCAGTTCCTACCCTTGGCTCTACCGGCTGTCACTGCCTCCTTGATGTCCTTCAAGGAACCCCTGCTCCCACCCCTCATAAAGGTCACCTGTGATTGCCTATGCCCAAATCCACAGCTGTTTCTCAGATTTCATTCCTGAAGGCTCAGCAACATCTGACCCTATCGACTTGTACTCCTTGGAATGCTCCCTGTCGCAGCTCCTTCCTGAGGCATCTGGCCTCTCTGTCCGAATCCCTCCTGTTCTGTGGAGAGAGGCGAGAGGGCAGAGACAGAAGAGTTTGAGTGTGGGCTTTCTCCATGGTTGGAATCCCTGCTCTAGCACTTGCTAACCGGGCGGCTCTGAGTAATTTAACACTGCTACGCTTCTGTTTCCTTACTAGTAAAATGGAAAGAAGAGTAGTTACATCATTGGTCTGTTAGGAAGTGGATTAAACGAGTGTGCCTAGTCAAAAGTGAGCACTCAGTAAATGTCACCTTTTATCATTTTGATAATTTCTACTTAGATACCTTTGGAGGCTAAAAACCCTAACTTTGACTCCTTATTATTTCACTTACTGCCATTGCCCTTCTCTTCCCCATGTGTGCCCACTTCTAAGCCTTTGTCCACGCAGTCCCCACTCTCCACCCTGTCATCCCTTCCCACCCTGCTCTGCCCCTCTGTCCTGGCAGAGTCGGGAGAGCGCTGAGCAGAGGTTGAGCACGGACCTGTTGTAAGACATCCCTGCACAGCACTCAGCCTGCCTCGCTCAGAAGGACTATAAATTACTTAAGGATGCCAGCTGTGATTTATACTTAAAAACTATCCTCCTCCATAGCATTTAACACTATAGTTTACATGTACTAGGAATTTAACTTGTATCTTTAAGCTGTCAAATATAGTTTTTCTTGCCCCTGTCAAAATCTTTCCTCTGAGGTATTGATCAGTCCTAAAGCCCATGTAAGGTTTAGATGGAAAAATTAAGCCAGCCCCACAGGGAGAGTTAACCACCTTAGAATAATTTTTGGAATGAGGAGGGATGTTTAGAAATCATTTTAAAAATGGGAGCGCAGGGAGTAATTTAATGCTTTTAAAAAGCAGTCTGAATATGAAGCTGTTAGGATTTTATAAAGTGTTTAGAGCATTTTTTTCCCTGTTCTCATGACATTTCTCCAAGTAAAATGAGCTCTGAGGATGTAAGTGGGAAATTTTTTAACTCTTCAGACCTTGTCACAGGCCTGGTCCTGAGCCACCAGGTTCTAGTCCTGCCTTCTTTCCCTTTGCTGAAAAATGTTCCCTTTACCCACTGAAGAGGACATTGACATTGAATGAAGATCAAAGGAGGGGCTGCTTAATGTTTTTAAAAAACAGTGTCTACAATCAGTTATAAATCACATAAGCAATAAGGATATCTAAATAGATAAAATAGTTACAGAAATTCAGACTGTCTTACTCCTGAAGGTCTCAGGTCTGAATGCAACAACACATTCTGGGCTGTTATGATCATCCTTGGGGTATTCTTGCTGAAATTGTTTTTAAGGGCCCAACATGCTTTTATAGTGCTTTTGACAATAAGTGTGTTATTCCAAAAAATAATATTTCTGGAGAAATCTTTGTTGGTTGCAATTGGAGGAAATTATATTTGACCAGCTGTGCCCACCAGAGGTTGCTTGGGATGACAGCGCTGCTCTGAGACGCACTGCCAGGTGCTTCAGGGTGAAATAGAAGGGACAGGTACTCTGCCCTTCGGTAAAGGGCCACAGTTGATCAGGAATCATTATGGCTGTTAGAAATTGATCTGGAGACTTGTGATTTAAAACCCATCTCCAACTGACAGACTTTGTTTTCCCTAAATGCAGTAGTGTTTCAGTTGACTGAAAATAACATACTGCGCTTTCTGAAGAACACCAAGGCTCCAGCCTTGGGAAAGACTTGCTTTGGCCATACGTCTCCTTTGGCTTGTTAATTGCCTTCGAAAGGGGAAAGCATACACAGAGGACCCCCAAGGTGCTCACTACACTATAATTTAGAAATAAGCCTTCTATAGGTTCTGGGATCATGGAGGCAATGTAGATTTACTTATTCCACAGGTGATTGCTAGCATCTTCAATGCGCCTGATCTTGCTAACAGGTGGAAGGAATGCCAAAGATCATATCTAGTGCTATGGACTGATTTATGACCCCTGCCCTTTCCAAATACACAGTGTTGAAGCCCTACCTCCTAATATGGCTGTGTGAGGTGATAGGATCTGTAGCAGGTAATTAAGGTTAAATGAGGTCATAAGAATGGGGTCTTAATCCGATAGGACTGTGGTCTTATAAGAAGAGGAAGAGAGAAAGATTTATTTTTCTCTCTCTCCACCATGTGAGCACATAGTGAGAAGGTAGCCATCTGCATGCCAGAAAGAGTGGTCTCCCCAAAACCCAACCATGCTGGCGCCCAGATCTTGGACTTCTGGTCTCCAGAACTGTGAGAAATAAATATCTGTTGTTGAAGTCACCCAGTCTGTTACAGTAGCATAAGCTTTGAACTGGATGTAAGACTGGAGACTTGATTTAGATCAGGTGAGTTAAAAAAAAAAAAAGCCCTTAAAATGAGTCTTAATTAGTGAAACAAGGTGGTGCTTGAAAATGTGAGTAACCAGAAAGTCATGGAGTCAGTTTGAGGACAAAGGCTAGAGAGAAATAATGCTGGTTGTATTTCTGGTTGTAAGCACATTCAGACTATTACTATTA